TACCCGGGACAGTCCCAGTTTTGAGCCCCGTGTCCCCTGTACCAGCAGATTTATACAAAACTATTGACTTGTCCCAGTTTCATACAAAAAATGTCCCAGGTGTCCCTATTTTTGACCAATTTGACACCTGCCAACAGTAATGAGAGGCGCACATTGTCATCAGTTTAGGTACAATTATGGAAAAGAGAAAGAAAATGACTGTACTGACTCATGTTTGTCATGAATGGGCCAAAAGCAGAACAACTCTCTTTAATTACGCAGTCGTTTCACAATTTTATTATTACCAGCCACCGCAAACCAGGGGTGTCCCAGTTTTTGATTTTGAATATTTAGTTACTCTAGTTCATGGTTCTGTTTAGGAGTTGGATTTTCAACTAAAAACATGAGAGTGGCTAAATCTAGAGAACCTTAAAGAGCACAAATCATCTCTCTGGTCTCACATCTCACTGAAGTTCCAACAAATTCAGCTTTTTCTGGTCAGATTGTGAATGCTTTGAGTTTTTCAGTTTTTTTCTCTCCTGTTTAAACATGGAAAAACTAAAATTCAGTTAGAAGGCTTCACTGAGCTGTTACAATCACAGCCTGAGCTCTGTGCCGACATGCCAAGTCATAAATGTTCAGAGATCCTTCCCATTTCAAGGAATTGTCGGTTATAAACCTCACGACGGGGCTGTAAAGGACAATTTGGGTCATCAGACTTAGACTTCGTTACAGGCATAATCATTAGTGAAGAGGAGCCGGGCCTATCCATTTTCGGTAAAGGTCACACTTCTGCTCCTGCGGATATCGATAGCCGCTGACAACACTTCAACCTTTATTAACAACATTATTGGGTTGTCAAATCAGATATTAATCAATACTAAACCAGTATTATAAATGCATACTCCATTTAACAAGTATTGATACTGAAAGAAATCACATAAACATAAAATAATTTGACCTTTCTGGAACAGTTTTTGAGTAATCTTGGACTTTATCAACACCAGTAAATAACATACAGTAGATATTCAATTTAACAAGTATCGATACTGGAAAAAATTGCATAAACATTACAAAATTTGACCTTTCTTCAACAGTTTTTGAGTAATCTCAAACTTTATCAACACCAGCATAGTACGTATAGACTGTACATATTATATTTAGACTATTTGCTATTTTTGTATTTGCTAATTTTTGTATTTTTAATGTTTTCTATTGACTTGCTTATTTATTTATTTATTTTATCCTTTATTTTATTTAATGTGTTAATTTATATTGTGCGGCACTTTGGAGACTTTGTGTTGGTAAAATGTGCTATACAAATAAAGTTGGATTGGATTGAATGGATTGGACACAGCAAATTGCCATGGGCGCGCTCCTGGCTCCATCGACTCTGGGTCCAATTCACTTTGTATTGAAAAAACTGTCAGACCTATCTCTGCAACTGCCGCTGTCAGGCTCAGTTTGGTCTTAAATGTTCGTATTACCCCCCTCTTCGTGATCCTGGCGTTTTTACTTTGCAATTTTGTGAACAATTTTGTAAATCAATTCATATTCCTAATACAGAACTTGGCTCCAATTTTGTCCCTATAACTGCGAACATCAATGAGCTTCACTTGACTGGAGCTGAACGCTATGGGAGATGTCACACTCCCCAAGTCCACGTCTTTAAAGTCTACGTCGTACTCAAGCCTTCAAGAATTCAAGTCAATAGGCCGAGCTCAGTGGCACACGATTCGCCTTTAGCCCAGCGAGGTACTTCCGGTGGCATGCGCAGTAGTGCTCTTTTCTCCTGCAGGCGAATACACGCGACCGCACGCGCAGACACGCGGGCTCATGCATCACATGATCGCTTTGACCAATTGGAGCGAGAAGAGCAAGACCGCAGCCGGAGTTAACGATTAAAAAGCGTTTTTTAAGACAACTGAAGGGTTTTGAGCTGAGAAAAAGATAATGATCTAAAAATAGGTAAAAACTGACAACAAATCAAACATTTTTGAAAGTTGTAGGTGCCCTGGCAGCCAAACAAGAGCAGTTTGTGATTACATTGCGCTCTATGAGAAAAATCCTCTCTCGGCCCAGGGGATTTTTCTGCTGAAGTTCCAGTGAGTGTCACTACGTCAACTGGAGGCAGCTACAAACAGCAATACCCTGTCCAGTTGTTTTAATAGATCCATGGTCGTAGTAATCGAGACTGCTTTTTTTACAGTCTTGGTCTCGTCTCGGACTTGACCACATTTGGACTTGGTTTCTATAAAAACATTGATATAAATGTGCCGAAATAACTGTAATTATAGAAATACATGTCAAAAATTACAAAGATGGTCTCGATTTGGCCTCAATGGGCCGTGGTCTCGGTCTTTTCTCGATCTCAGTCTTTAAAAGTCTTGGTCTCGTCTCAGTCTCGACCCTCAAAGGTCTTTGTCTTGTCCTGGTCTCGAGCCCCAAAGGTCTCGGACAGGTCTTAGTCTCGATTAGTGGGGACTTGACTACAACACCAAAAAAACACATGGTAACTTAAAGAAAGCCATACTATTCTGTGCTGGAAATTATATTCTATCATCTAAGAGTTTTTTTTGTTTTTTTTTATCTTAATAAGCAAAAAATCTAAATTGGTATCGAGTATCAAGTCTTTTTCTTAGTATCAAAATCAAATCTGAAATTTTAGTATCAGGACAACACTACAGCACAAGCAGTTAATAAAAAAACATGTCTCAACTAAAGTGGAAAGCTACATAAAAGTCCAATGGGATCGCTCATGGCACCTGACATTCCAGCATCCCCCAGTCAGACAAAACCTTTTTGTGACTGGAATTTAGTTTTGTAGTCCTTTATAAACTAAAAAAGCTTTCATTGTAAACGTGGCATTCCATCTTCTCAAGCTGAAAGCCACGTAATTCAATCCAAAATAAGAAAATATCTGGCCACGCACTAGGGAAAACTGCAATAACTGTGCAGATGGCTTATTCTCCTAAAGGTGCATTGTGTAACTTTTCTAATGGAGAGTCTGTCAAATTGCTTTGTCTGGAATGTTTCACAGTATGGCATTAAACCTTTCTATCTTCACAGAGACCAAATCAGACCAAGTTAGAGGCCAGATCTGTGGTGAGGCGACCCCGCTCACAGTCAGAATGCCTGTTTTTCGAGGTATTTTTGAGCAATAAAACCACCTATAATTGAATAAATGTAAGGTAGAGCTGTTTAAAGTCATACTGTGGAACATTCCAGGCAGAGCAATAACATATCCATAGAAACAAGCAGGTGACGGATAGCCTGATTCATCAGCAAGTTTCACTTCGTAGAAACCGTCTAACCTCACAGTGTTAGATTTCGTTCACTCGACGGTAAGCGGGTACTTTTTTTTAAAATTTAACCAATCGCTGCTATTTGGTCGTGATGTATGTAATGCGCCGCTAATGAAGCTAACTGGTATATTAAGCTTTTCCCAAATCCCGTAGGAAGAACGACAATAACGTCTTTCCCCTTGATAAAATTCCCCAAACATTCTCTTTGTTCTGGCTTTAAATCCGTGATCTCGGGAATCATTGACAACACTGCATATATGGCTCTTCGCTGATTGGCTGGTGCCCGAACTCGCACTTCCGGGGTTTTTTGCAAACCGTCTACTCTATTCCGATTCCTGACCTAGTTGCTAGAGAGAAACAAAATTGAGTGGAGGCACTAGATGGCGCCAGTCTGGCTAGGTGACGGACCGTCCACCATAAAAGTCACACAATGCACCTTTAACTTAACTTAATTGCTCTTTGAATCAGAGCTGCTGTTCTTCTTAGAAACAACACAACAAATTACTAAAGAGAAGTGCACAATCAAGAAGGAAAAGTCATTGGCTGTGACCATCTTGTCCTTCATAAGTTCATATAATTTAAAAACACAACAGAGATCATGTTTGTGTGTGTGTGTGTGTGTGTGTGTGTGTGCACCATGTGACGTGCCAAAAGCAGTTAAAAAAAAGGACCATATTACACTATTTTCTGATCTGTGTTATAATGTTTCCTCATCAAAAACATGCCCGGAGTTGTGTTTTGTTTCATTCACACATGTTTAACACACAAACCCTGCATATTTAGGCTGAGTTTTTCTCTCAAACCGAAAACACTGACATGTGGTAATAAAGGAAGTGCTCCACTGTGTTTTTTAACTCTGAACACCTTCATTAGAATCTTTTGGATCATTTCAGCCCTGGAATTGCCAATCTCTGGTGAACAAAAGGTAAAAGGTAGCTGTTAACTATCGCTTCACAACATCATGAGGTGGAACAGAGCATTATGAGCTTTGGAGATGTAGACAGACTAATAAAGAAGGATTAGCCAAATGTGTGTGAATGAAACAAACAGAACTCCGGGTCTGTTTTTGACGAGGCAACTGCATTATAACATCATAAGCTCACAAGAGTCATTTTTGTGTAATATAGAACCTTTACGGATCACAATGAATGCAGGTTGTGGTTTTAAAATGCACAAACTAGGAGTGATTGTTTCGTGTAAGTGGTAATTACTAAGAGAAACACTGCTGTACCATACACCCCATAGTATTCTGCATTTCCTGTGGCATTAACTGTGCACACATTCCTTCCCAACGTGATCAATACACGGGCTTATAGATTTTAAGGAATCCATAAAATCGTTAAGAGTTACACTGGAAGGCCATGGAGCTCCTTACAATAGCAATTAAGAACAATGTCACGTTATGGAAACCTATGGAGGGTGTGAACCAAAACAATAACGAAGCCATGTGACATAAAAAACGCCAAAAATGCACTTAAAATTCTAATTAAAATGTAAGGAAGCGTGAAGGAACACAGCACAGAGAGAAAAAAGACACAAAACACGACAGAATTCTTTGCTGAAACGTATCCAAGCATTACGAGGTCAGCAAATGTGCACTTTGCTCTGGTGCGTAAAAGCGCCCAGACGCACATCCAGATAGCGTGTCATGTTTGGTGAAACTAACCGGTTATTTTTTACTACATTGAGAAAGAGGGTGATATAAAGTGGACTTACGTAACGTCTCAACTTTTTTTCAGGAGGAGACTTTCTGAGCCAGCCCGAGCACACCACCTCTCCCCCGCTCATATCTGCTCCCTTTCCTACCCTCCTTCTCGGAGCTGGAGCGGAGAAAGCTTGTTTGTCTTCGCTTGTTTTTGGGAGTGTCTTCTTGAGTGCCTGAAAAGAACGGTGGCGCAAAGCTCAAATGACAAAGTTTCAATGTTGTGACAGTGTTTTTTAATCTGTAAAGCTGAATACAGTCACTCCTCTTCCGAAAGTCGCTCCTTACCGACAAAGCAGCTCTTTGAAATGCACAGACCAGATTTCACCCAGTTGTACTCAAATACGCGCTTATCCTTGACCTGGGGAGCATAAAAGCCTCCGCGGCGCCGCCTTTTGTACAAATATCTGCGGCTGCTCGTGGATTTTGCAACGCTGAGGTCGCAAAAAGGCGCAGACAACTCAGGAGCCGCGAAGTTTTGTTGTTAAACGTGACGCCTCATGCTAATCTCCGTCCATTCCCAGTTTGCGCGATCAGGTGTAGACGTCCCACACTGGTGCGGAGCATACTTGGCGTCCTCAAAGCATTTAAAACACTCTTCTATGGAAACACACAGGCTAAGGCGACCTTTCCAGGCAGTTTACTCCCATGGTTCCTTCATTGTGATTGACAGGGTGGCTCCGTCTTTTCCTAAACTCACCCTCGTAGGGAACATGCGCCTGTCAAGCTGCGTCCGTGCGTAACAGCGGATTGCCGGAAGTAACATTCCAATAAAAATTAATTCTACTCCAATTACGTTGAATGCACATGTTTTTCGGTCATTGCTTTAATCACTAATGGCCATGGAGTATTGGATTGCACATTCAATCTGCGTTTTTGACCATTATAAACAATTTCTCTGTGATAAAAGAACTCTCAAATGCCCACGAAAAAACTAAAACTACACAAAAAAGTACTCCAATTAAAATATATGATGTTTCGAATTAAAATGGTGATAGTGTTAAGTGCATAACAACTTTACGCACAGTTAATAACGTTATCGTCGTTCACAGCAGAGTTTGGTTTTATTTGTTGAGGGCGCTACAGGAAACTGACTCGCAAAATGTTCTGCTTTATTTTTGTAGTGGAGAAGATCGAGGCGGGGTGGCGGCAGCGAGCTGGGAAAATTAGAGCTTCAGACATGGGACATGCAGTTCCACTATTGTTGAGGACTATTCTGCGCACAAACGCCAGAGAGCCGATGCTTTTTCTGTATAAACCTATTAAAAAGTAATTCATAACATGCTTGCAGAGAAGTCAACATGTTACTGCTGGAAGAGAGTTGCTGTGCATAAGAAACGCGCTGTTAGTGCCACATTACTTCTAATAGACGTAGCCTTATCAGATGTTTACCAAACAAGAGGAAACGGGATACGTATTTCCTTGACGTCCTCGGAGTGAGACTGTACTGGACACGTAAACCCACTGGAAACTAAGGACATAGATTAAAAGGCCCCCAACTGAATTTGATTAAGTCAATTAAGACACAAATGACAAGAACAAAGAAAGCAATGAACACAGACAATTGCACTGTAATCCATATGCATTAGGGTCTAAAAAAAGTTTTCTCTAGATTAGAACCCTGAATTTGGTTCCATGTCTGGCCAAAATATATGGCTCCAAGTTTTATGCAAATTAATATTTAGAGGTTGCTCATAACACTTGAAATTTGCTCTATACCAGGGGTGTCCAAACTTTTTTCATCAAGGGCCACATATCTAAACACAAATGAAGCAGAGGGCCGATCGAGGGCCGTAGGCTGGTGCTCAATACAGTGAATAATTAAAATATGTGCATGTTTAACACATTGGAATGAACCATCTGTCTTTATTCGTGCTAAGATACTCAAAACCACAAACTAAATATTAAATACTAGCTTTATCAAGGTAGATTTTCAAAAAACCTGCAGTAAAAATTTTGATTTTTCATTGATGCAGGGTAATTTGGGCCAATTCACCTGGAAGCCTGAGGGCCAAGAAAAAGCTTTGAAGCTTTGAAGAAACGCATTGTGCGGATGGTGACAAAATCACTAATCTGCTTCCCTTCATAATCTGCTTGATTAAGGGCATCACGTCGCTTTTTGGTAGAACCTCTGACCTTTCCTTTTCCATAATACTGTGAACCATCAGATTCTTCTGGAGTCCAAAAACGCCAGGCCAAACATTTCTTCACTCAAGTTCCAAAGATGTTGGCCTTCACAAATGATTTTTCATACTGTGACAGCTTCTTAAGAAAAAACAAATACCAAAAATGCTAAATTAGTCAATTTCCAGGAAACTTTATGCAGCTTGAGCAACCTCTAAAACATCCTCCTTTTTCTTCCAAATTTCTTCCTAAATCGTTTTCTTAGATGCTAAAACCTAATGCAGGATTTTAATTGAGGTTATGTGAAACTTTATTTTTTTAAAATGTTGATTTTTCATTGATGCAGGGTAATTTGGGCCAATTCACCTGGAAGCCTGAGGGCCAAGAAAAAGTTGTCTGAGGGCCGCAATTGGCCCATGGGCCATAGTTTGGACATGCCTGCTCTATACTATAACATAGCGAACCAAATAAGGTTTATTTGAATAATTTGTCATTTTATTCTGTAAACACAAACTGAAGCTTGCATAGAAATGACTTAGAAAGTCCATAAAGTCCATAAAAGTTAAATAGAAAGTCCAGCTCCTCTGTGGCTTTGTTGGTCTCACAAAAGATGTGCCTGTGCTCTTTAACACCTGCAGTAGATCCTGTTTCTGATCTTCATTCTTTGTTTAGGCGACAGTTAAAATTTTGGATAAGCTTTCAGCAACATCATTGACAACTTTCCTGGAATACACAGTTTAAGCAGCTTCTGAAAGTCTCCTTCCTCAGCCCAGTCTGCTGCTGGGGAATTGTTAAAAATGTTTTTGTCAGATCAAGAGCTTTGAAGAAACGCATTGTGCGGATGGTGACAAAATCACTAATCTGCTTCCCTTCATAATCTGCTTGATTAAGGGCATCACGTCGCTTTTTGGTAGAACCTCTGACCTTTCCTTTTCCATAATACTGTGAACCATCAGATTCTTCTGGAGTCCAAAAACGCCAGGCCAAACATTTCTTCACTCAAGTACCAAAGATGTTGGCCTTCACAAATGATTTTTCATACTGTGACAGCTTCTTAAGAAAAAACAAATACCAAAAATGCTAAATTAGTCAATTTCCAGGAAACTTTATGCAGCTTGAGCAACCTCTAAAACATCCTCCTTTTTCTTCCAAATTTCTTCCTAAATCGTTTTCTTAGATGCTAAAACCTAATGCAGGATTTTAATTGAGGTTATGTGAAACTTTATTTTTTTTACCAAGCTTTGAAGGACCACCTTAATGTGCATGCACCTTCACTATAGTGCAATATGCAACCTCAGATATCAGCTAAATTGATTCTCGTAAGCTTCTAGTCATGTTCGAATGTGGTTACCTCCTCAAAAACAGACCTGGAGTTGTATTTTGTTTCATTCACACGTTTGAGTAACCCTTTATTATGAGTCTGCATCTCCAAAGCTCAGAACAGAGCTACTTTTACCTTTTGTTTAGTAGAAAATGGCAATTCCAATGCTGAAATCAACCAGTGAAGATGTATGGAGCTTGAAAACACAGTGGAGCACAGTTTGTTTTCAGTTTGAGAGAAGAACTCAGCCTAAATCTGCAGAGTTTTTGCGTTAAACATGTGTGAACGAAACAAAAACACAACTCCAGGTCTGTTTTTGATGAGGAAACATTAAAACATAAATCAGAAATAGATCAACATGAGCCCTTTAAACTGCATAGATCATTTATTGACAGTTTAAATAAGCTCAATCCTATCAAAGATCACGTGGAGGTTGAAATCCTACTTGTTTCCAGCAGACGGAGGGCTGGTATTTGCGGAATCCTGTTGGAATGCTATTGTAATGGGCCACAGTCACATTCCCAGAGGATGGTCCCTGCTAGGCCATGATTAATGACTGTGCCATCGTGCAGACTCATTACCTCTTTCAACAGCCTCTGATGAAGAAATGGGAGACTATTAAGACGTAAAAGCAACACCCCCATCGGACTCTCTCTGTGTTTGTATTTACTCTGCAGTGTGACTACTTTTATATCTATTTAGCCCAAATTCGTGGTGTATTTTTAGTAGGAGTGTAACGATATCCAAGTCTCACAATACGATATTGTCACAGTATGAACTAGGGATGTAGCAATAACCGAAATATCGTGATATCGTATCGTCAGAGTTCTCACAATAACATCGTGGACCATCACAATATATAGAATTACAAGTCTCTTTGCTTAAATTAAGAGTTATGGTGCAGTAATAGCTCAAAAAAAGACAGAGAGAACTACATAGACCATGATCCTTTGCTCCATTTCAGTGCAGACTACAAGAAGAAATAACATCTAAGCACTTTTAAGTCTTAGTTCTTTGGATTAAGTCTTGTCAAGGTATTTTAAACAGTTTTGTTCGCAGCCTCCACAAAATATCACAATAAATATCGTACCGAGAGATTTGGATATTGTTAAATCCCTAATCGTGAGCCCCCCCATGTTATCGCAATAAATATCGTACCGTGAGGTTCATACCAAGACGATATCATTCGTGGGACTTTGATATCGTTACACCCCTAGTATGAACCTCACGGTACGATATTTATTGCGATATTGTGGGAAAGCTCACGATATGATGGGGAGGCTCACGTTAAGGATGTAACAATATCCAAATCTCTCGGTACGATATTTTCACAATATACATCTCACGGTACGATATTTATTGCGATACTTTGTGGAGGCTGCAAACAAAACTGTTAAAAATACCTTGACAAGACTTAATCCAAAAAACTAAGACTTAAAAGTGCTTAGAACTGTTATTTCTTCTTGTAGTCTGCACTGAAATGGAGCAAAGGATCATGGTCTATGTAGTTCTCTGTCTTTTTTTTTAAGCTATTGCTGCACCATAACTCATAATTTAAGCAAAGAGACTTGTAATTCGATATATTGTGCTGGTCCATGATATTATTGTGCAAACTTTGACAATACAATATTTAACAACCGAAATATCGTGATATCGTAAAGTAGTCAAAATTTTTAAGAGCCTATATTATGCTGTTTTCTGATTTATGCTCTAATGTTGCAACACAATCATATTAATAATTTCAGCCCTGGAGTTTCCGATTTCTATTGAAGAAAAGTAAAAAGTACAGTCTCTTTTAACTTGAAAACTACCGCTTCACATCCTCAAGGTGGACTGGAGAATTTTGAGCTTGGGAGATGCAGACAAATCCATAATAAAGGATTGCTCAAACATGTGTGACTGAAACAAAACACAACTCCATATGTATGTTTTTGATGAGGTAACAACATTCTGGTTACACGGCTTAAAGCTCACAATAGTCAATATTGCGTAACGTAGGAGATTTAAAAGCATTTACTGGGAATAACAAGCAACTTCCTACTTCCCCCTTTTCTTAATTGTTTTGCTGACAAGGCAGTGTGACGGTTTTATTCCTCATTCTAAATATACTCAACAAACAAGTCAGAAAAACAGATCATTATGTTTTTTTTCCACCCCTTAATCAATGGTCAAACTGGTTTTATAGAGTGACGAATTAAAGATTATATATTACATAAAACTGACTCTTGTGAGCTTCAAGTCATGTTAGAATAGTGTTACTTCCTCAAAAACAGACCTGGAGTTGTGTTTTGTTTCATTCAAATATGTTTAAGTGACTCTTTATTATTAGTCTGTCTACATCTCCAAAGCTCAAAATGCTCCAATCCACCTTGTGATGTCATGAAGCGGTAATTTTCACGTTAACACCCACCGTTTATCTTTTGTTCAGCGGAGATTGGAAATTCCAGGGCTGAAATTATCCATCTAGTGAAGGTGTACGGAGTTTAAAAACACGGTGGAGCGCTTGTATGACCTGTTTGAGAGAACAATTCAACCTAAATATGCAGCGTTTGTGCGTTAAAAATGTGTGAATGAAACAAAAAACGACTCCGGTTATGTTTTTAGACGAGGAAACAACATCATAAACGCAACATAAATCAGAAAATAGTGTAAAACGCCGCTTTAAGACACAACTTATAAGAAAAAGGACCAACACAAAAACAGAAATGACCAGCGTTTTTACTGTGGGAAAAGGTAAATGAACACAATACAGCTGAGGTGTACGTTTTACAGTCAGTGACCTCATAAAGTCTGCATTAAATATCAAAAAGCATACAAAAAGCAACCATTAACCCACAAACCTCCCTGAATGCTCACAAACAGGGACAGACAATATTATAATAATGTACATTGCACTGTTAAATGTTTAGGTTTTTTTGTATTTTTTCTTTAAACACCAATATAGCATCATCTCAAAAATGCCCCGAACTGAGATCTTCTGAGCTCAGTTGACTCTAAAATGGTTCTTAACAGTATATGTACAATTATTGCATGTGAAAATCAGTCGAGCACACCCTAATGTAAGAACGAGGACATTTAAAGTGCCCATGACAGGTTAGGCTACTAATTTCATTAAAACACAGTTAATATTTGAGATTTTACTAAAGATTTAAATTTTCCTTTTCCTAATTTGACCATTTTTTAGGCAACCGTACCGTAAACTAGGCCAAAACTCCTCTAATGTTCAGAAAAATAGAAGATTTGAAAGAAGAAGATTTGAAAGAAGAAGATTTGATTTAAATTTGAGATTATTTGATGAATAAAAACACAAAAAAACACTTTTATTTTGTTGAGATAAAATTTTGAAGTATCAGAAATAAGTGCTTCTTACTTGTAAACATAATTCTCCCCACTTTCTGTAACATATTTTTCAACATTTTTCGACAAATTGCTTCTTGATTGATTGTAAAACTATAATCTATATTTAATTTCAATTTTTATGTTTTTATTCTACCAAATTAAGTAAAAAATTGAAACCTGTCATACGCACTTTCAGCAAGAGGTGGCCAAAAATATGAAATGCTTTTGTATTCATGCTTCACAAATTAAATAGTTTTATCGTTATTATATTCTAAAAGCAAATGTAATTAATTTAACTTTGTTTAAGTGCACTGTGTAACTTTTCTGGTCACCTGCTTGTAACCATGGAAATGTTTCTGCTTTGATTATTCCACAAAATGGAAGTAAACTTGGTAATCACAACAGAGACAGGTTAAAGGTCAGATCTATGAAAAAGCGAGCCTGCACATGATAAGAATTCACGTTTTGTTTTCATTTTTTAAGGTATTTCTGAGCTATAAAACACCTGTAATTGAACAAATGCAAGGGAGATATGTTTAATGCCCTACTGTGGAACATTCCAGGCCAAGCAATAACATCTCCAAGTCGCAAACCCAAGTTACCAAGTGCATCTTTAAATAATTTGCTAAAATGTGGCCGTAACAACATGATTAAAAGTGGTTTATTATCGATGTACGTGAAGGACCACAGATACTTTACACAGCTCATATGCAGTGGAGTGCTTCTGTCAAATACGGTAGAAAACGGTGGAACATTTCTATCTCATTATGAATTACAAACATTTTCATCATGGCCAAAATATAAAATCAAATTAAGTCAAAAGTTAAGAAACCAAAGGACCAAAAGAGGTAAGAATCAGTCCTCGTTTGTCGTATTTACGTAAGTCCAGTGCTGTTTTACGGATTGGACAATGCTGAGCTTTTCTTCAGAGTAACTTTACTGGCGGAGGGTTCGTCAAATGATTTTCTCCATGGATATTTTATTGCTCTGTCTGGAATGCTCCACAGTGTGACATTAAACAGCTCTACCTTACATTTATTCAATTACAGGTGGTTTTATAGCTCAAAAAAAACTAGAAAAACAACGTTCTGGCTGTGAGCGACAAAGCAATAACATCTCCATGGAGAAAAGCGTTTGACGGACCCTCTACCGGAAAAGTTACACCTTTAATGCACCTTTAAAACACCAGAGCCCCGCTTTAAAACACCAGTCTGCTGATGGTGTTGAAGCCCCCTCCTCCTCCCCCTCCTCCAGATGGGCCGCAGCTCCCCGGGGGGTTGTTGTCATCTGAACCATTGGGCTTGGACGAGCAGGAAGACGAGGCTTGAAGAACTTGGGTCCGTGCGTTCAGCTCCTGCTCCTGACATGAGAAACAAAAAACGAAACGCACATTTAAAACGGTCCTATATTAAGCAAAATTGACTCGTGTGAGCTTATAATGTTACTTCCTCAAAAACAGACCCGGAGTTGTGTTTTGTTTCATTCGCACACGTTTGAGTAACCCTTTATTATCAGTCAGTCTACATCTCCAAATGTCTCAAAATGCTCTGTTCCACTTTGTGATGTTGTGAAGCGGTATTTCTCAAGATAACAGCTACTGTTTAATTTCTGTTCAGTAGAAATAGGCAATTCCGGGGCTGAAATTATCCAAATGATTCTATTTAATGTGTATGCAATTTAAAAACACAATGTATTACCACTAGGGATGTAACAATAACGGAAATATCGTGACATCGTATAGTCAAAGTTCTCACAATAATATCGTGGACCATCACAATACAAGTCTCTTTGCTTAAATTAAGAGTTATGGTGCAGCAATTGCTAAAAAAGACAGGGAACTACATAGACCATGATCCTTTGCTCCGTTTCAGTGCAGACTACAAGAAGAAATAACAGTTCTAAGCACTTTTAAGCCGTAGTTCTTTGGATTAAGTCTTGTCAAGGCATTTTAAGAGGAAAAAAGTAGCACATTAATAGTTTGTTCGCAGCCTCCACGAAATATCGCAATAAATATCGTACCGTGAGATATAAATTGTGAAAATACCGCACCGAGAGATTTGGATATTATTACATTCCTAATCGTGAGCTTTCCCACGATATTGCAATAAATATCGTACCATGAGGTTCATACCGGGACAATATCGTATCGTGAGACTTGGATATCGTTACACCCCTAATTACCACATGACATCACAAGGTGGAACGGCGTGTTATCTGTTTGAGACAAGAACAGTGTGTGCGAATGAAACAAAACACAACTCCAAGTATGTTTTTGATGAGAAAACATTAAAACAGATCAGAAAATAGTGTAATATGAGGAAATTGTATGTAGAAATGTAAATGTAGAACTACATAAACATACATTTTACTAAAACTACAGAAACTCATTGGAGAAGTTAGACATGAATAAAAGATATGGGTGTACTTAAGTTTTCTTCTTCCCACTTACTGTCCTACTTATTTTTGAGCAAGAAAATAAAAAAAATAAACATTGTAATAATATATACACAAATATTTCTTTTAAATTCATACACTAAGCCTATTGTCTTGTTCACCCAGAAACTTCTACAGTCATTGTGTTACTGCAGCACCATCTAGAGGCGGGTTTCTGGAGTTACAAAAGTACTTTATGAAATGTCACATGTCGGTACTGCTCAGTGACTTGTGAAATTACCTCTCATACGTTTCACATTGCGTTGTGGTCTATTACAGTGTGGTTTCTTGCCAAAGGCATTTACTCTGAAGAACATTTTGTCAGATAAATAAGTGAACTTACTGAAGCCTTAACTCAAGTACACTCCCAAGATGTAGTACACACCTTCTCGATGTTTTATCTTTATGTTTACTACTTTCTACATTATGGATACTGATGATATCAAATATATGAAGCCAGATGTATGGGATTATGTAGCAAATATTTTAAAAAACTGAATAGATTTTATTTTAGATGATTCAGATTCCTCCCAGTATCCACCCTTTGCTTTGAGAGCAGAGCTGCAAACCCTTGGCCTTCTCTCTTTGAGCTTCTTGATCAAGTCTCCTGAAATGGTTTTCACTTCACATAGTGGTGCTTTGTCAGGGTTCAGGGTTCATTAGTGGAATGCGAAAAGTGAAGTGTGGCTACAGTTGCAATCAACATTCTTCAACCCCCACTGCAAATTAACTAGCAGCTGTTGACAAAAAAGAAATCAGACAAGAACAATTTGAATAGCTCGACACAATTAATGTCACAAGTTTTTTGTAAACAGCTGTTAGTTTGTACTTTTTACCAATAAATGTAATTTGCAGTGGGGGTTGAATAATTTTGATCGCAACTGTATATTGTATAAATATAAAACATGGCATCAATTATTATTATTTACAAACTAGATCGTAAATAGTACGATACGAATAGTACGATAGAAAAAACATCATGACGTGTATCCAATCTTAACTGATAGTATATAGGCCGGCCCTGACACAGATCTACTGACATGTCCCCCTGTTAAACTGAACTGAGACCTTTGACTGAGGCACAAAGACAAAACTGAAGCAACTGTGCAAAACCTCTGTAGCAAAAACTGACCTTCCCTCGGGATCAATAAAATATGTCCCTTTCTCTCCCTCTCTCTCTCGACTTATTCTGCAAATACGCAAAGGAATACGAATTGGCCTCAGTATATTTCTTACCTGTAGGAAGAGTTTGTTGTCTTTGATTATCGCATCCAGAAGCTCTTTGTGTAGTGGAGGCTCTGCGTTCATCCTCATCCCATTGGCCACCCCAGTCCCGTTTACGCTTTTCCCGGGTATCTCCTGTTTTCTGTACATGAGCACGTACGCTGTGTCCTTGGGGAAGCGATTTGTAATATTTTGCACCGACTGAAAGGAGGCATAAGTGACTCTGCTGTCATTGAACAAAAGCCAGTCTTTGTCTGCGTGTCCACTAGGGGGCGATGTATTCCCCTGCTCATGTGAAGCTGCCAGAGATGAGCAAGACGGGATACAGTCTGCCCTGTTATCATCTTTTAAGGAAAGGCAGTTGGCGAGATGCTGCGTCCCATCCACTTCACAGACATTTCGACCATAAGAATAATAATGTCCACTTTCTGAGGACAAACCTGAGTGCATCACCACAGAGCAGAGTACATAAGGGACTGAATGAACCGATGTGTCCTGTACAGCTCCATCTATCCTCTCCTCTTCCTCATTCTGAGAAGGTTTGAGCTTTTTGGCCAGGTTCTCGCTGCATTCTGGGGAATCCTCTTGCAAAGATGTAGGAGATGGTTTGGACGCGTGTGTGTGCACAGGAAGCCTCATCAAAGCTGGAATGGTGACATTGTCCAAAATCTTTCTGCGCACGTGGCATTTTGCGTCATATGCAAATCGCAGGAGAGTCAAAATGAGGTACTCAGGTGCAGACACTATTTTTAACGTCCTCTCTGCTCTTTGGAGGGAGCTGCACTTTTCACAAAAGTAAGCATTATCTGCATCAAGGATTTCTGGAGCCAGGAAATAATTGACCAGATCAGGCACTGAGAGGGGAGGCTCGCTGGTCACTGGCACAATAGAAACACTGCTGGCTGGTGATTTCACTGGGCCTGACTCAGGGTTTTCACTGCCACCGTTGACAGATCCCTGACAATGAGGCTCTGGCCCCATCATGGGTCCAACTGTGGGCCCCATCATGGGCCCCATCATAGGCCCCATCATAGGCCCCATCACGGGGCCCATCACGGGGCCCATCACGGGGCCCATCACGGGGCCCATCATAGGGCCCTCGGCAGGGCCACTGTCTGCAGAGGTGGCAGACGGGCAAAAGGCCAAAGACAGGTCTGTAAAAGGCTCCTCTTTCTCAGAGATGCTGTTGCAGAGCATACAGCGGATCCCGGTGATCAGCTTTCCACCAAACGTCCTCTCTATTAAAGTTCTGCTGTCACAGTCAGCAAAAGATTGTGGTGACACAGGTTCCTCTGGAGAGGTCAGACTTTTGGGGCCGTTGTCATGTCTGTCGTCAGCTGAGACATCTTTGGGTTCAGATGACTGCAGGATCTGAATCGTTTTCTCCTCTTCATGCAACCTTTATATTGAAATAAAAAATAAAAACATAGAACATTTCATTCAAATGGTAAATGGTAAATGGTCACATTTTTCTATAGCGTTCAAAAAGACTTTTTCTAAGTTTATACTGAAGGGTGGTGAGAATAGCACATTTGAATGAAGTGACATCCAAAACGGTAATAATTAATCGTTACTGTACCGGTCTAGAAGAAATCTGAGGTATTCGGAGCAGTCCTGCTGGGATCCAGCATTAAACCAGGGAGGCCGAGATGCTTCCAAGAAATTTTTGGGAGCATATGCTGCCCTCTGGTGGATAAATTATGAAAAAAAACCTTCTTAGACTCCTTTTGCCAGCACCCCTTACATTACATATATGATGATAATACACATGTTAAACTAACCTGAGTATGTGCAAGAAAAGCAAACAACAACTGAAGCTTTTTCATTAGCCGCTCAGATCCATTTAGATTTAAAGACAAAACATGTCTCCTAAAACTGAGGGGAGGTTACGATAAGGAAGTTAACATAAACACAAAAGATCCTAAAACATGAAAAAAAAAGGACAGGCTTGATTTTGTGACTTACTCTGTGGCCATAAAGAGGGTCTGGATGATGCTGTTCATGTAGCAGGTATTGCCCAGGTTGACCAGGCCTGTTTTTCCAGTCTCAGACTTCCCAGACGGTCTCAGAAAACCCGGAGCAAAGGAGTTAGACTGAGAGGTCCAGGCACTTTGATTCAACACTAACTTAATCTCGTCTTCTTCAGGTTTTGGGAGGTCCTGACAAAATATATTTAAACATTGTATTAACAAAGTGGATGGGAAGTATTAGCAATGTTATATTGTGCACTTTTTACCTTGATGGACTCAAGTATGTGATCATAAAGGTCTGGAAATCCAGAGTAGTGGTACATCATACAGTGCATAAGTTTGGAAAACTGCAATAAGAACTCCTTGCTGTTGGGATGTCCATCTGTTGTTAAGGACTGGACTAATGGAACCACACGGGGGACAACCTTTTCAAGCAAAAATAAAAAGACAATGAAATCTGTGACAAAAAGTATGCGAAAGAATGTGTTCAAATTACAAATCTGTTTAATCATCTTGATTCAATAAAGAGACATAAATAAGACTACAAAGGGGACAACTGAGGTTTACTAAATGCATCATTTGTAACTGAAGGCAGTGTGACTCAAACAGTAGATTAAATCATTGTGGTGGGCAAGAGGGACATGTGTTTTTAGGGAAACATACCAAATGAAAAGCTTCCGGAGAGTGCTGGAAACTCAGCAGCATGTGTGACAGGACAGCGAGGGCTCCCTGACGCACAATGGGATACCACAGACGATTAAATACCTACAGAGAGAGTAAAATACACACAAAACTTTAAATATGATTCAATCTGGAGTCATAAAAAAATAATATGAACATGTTATTACTAACGAGTTCAATTTTTAGCTGTGTCACGTCGATGAGGATAGTGAACTTCTGAACTGCAGCCAGTCCTTTCAGTAGTGCAATGACCCAGATATCCACATTGTGGGCCAGAGGCCAGGACAGCCAATCGATCATTCTAAACACAGAAGTATTGAGGTTAGGTTTAAAAGGCAGCCCACTGCCACTTCAAGATGGTGGGTAAGTTGTAGATCACCTGCAGAGGGCCTTGGTCATGTTTGCATCTTTAACACTGTGGTCTGTTGTTAAACTCTTGATGAGCACCGTGATCATCTGAACTGGGATGTGCTGGACCAGACAGGCCAAGGCAATGGAGGGCTCATATGTCAGTTCTGCCAAGAGACAATGTTCACATCAGATATGTTTGAACACGTAGCAAAAAAGACCACTGTTTGTTGTCAGCCTCACCTGTTGAGGATATGATAGAAAAGACTTCCTGTAGTGATGGCAGCAGTGTAGTGGGATCAGTCTTCCAGATGTTCTGGAGCAGCGTGCTCACCCTGGTCACTTGGTTTACATATTCTCTCAGTTCTTGCTCTTCATTGGCAAAGCACTGGAAGTAACTAATGGTTCTCACGAGCTGCTGACAGAACAGACCTCCAGTCTTGTCCTTTGGGATACACTGTACAAAATCTGACAGCAGAGTGCTGAGACGTGCACACAGAGCAGGGTCAGGACGCTCACAGACCATCCTCAACACCTCCACTTGGATCACACTAAAGATTTCCAAAACAGACGGGCAGCTAATGAGCAAACGCAGGCAACTGTGAATGAAGTCAATAATGGCTGGATCTTTATGGTGCAGCTCGCCATAGCCCTGCTGGAGCAGACCCAACACAAAGTCTTTGCTGAAGTATCGCTCAAACTCTGGGCGGTGGTACCGGGCGTACGCCTCCAGAACCTGGAAGCCCACCTGCTTCTGAAAAGCATCTTCCCCGAGCAAAATGAGGTGAGTGGTGAGAGTAAACATGGCCTGGCACTGCTCCTCTGTTACAGCTTTCTCCGCCGCCTCCACCACTTTCTTTATAATGACCTTCTTCACGGGAACTGGATGATTTGAGCTCATAAGGCCCTCCAAAATCTTGTCCATGGTGACGGTCTGAAGGGGTTAAAAAAAAAAAAATTGTATGTTAAATTTCAAAATTAATAAGAAAACATTAAGCACAGTGTTAAACAAAGATTTTTTAGGACAATGACAAAATTATTATTATTATTATACACTCAATTGGAGAAAATCGGGTACACAAACAAAGGCTCAGTTAAAAATTTTTATACAATCTGAAATCCATTTTTGTCTTATTTCCAAACCATGGAAGCAAGAGAAAATGCATAAATGTCGTTTAATTATTCTATTATTATTATTATTTTATTATTTTTATTTCTTTATTCATTATTATTGTTATTATTATTACTATTTATTTTATTTAAATCATTTATTTGTAATTATTTTTTTATTATGTCTATTTTCTTTTGTCATTATTTATCGATTTATACCATCGGTGTTTACTTCTTGTCTGTCTGGCTTATGTTCTCATGTTTATAAGTCGAGGGTGGGGTTCTAGGGAGAAAAACTTAAAAATGAAGACTTGTTGTGTAACATTGGTACAGAATATTTTTGCGAATATATGACGGAGTATAAGGGTCAGATAAAAAAAATTAATAAAAATGCTGGCACTACGAGAATAAAGTCGTAACATTTCAACATTAAAGTTGTAATATTATGAGAATAAAGTCGAAGCCAGAAAAAGTCGTAATTTTATGAGAATAAAGTCTTTTAAAAAAAAATGAGAATAAAGTCGTAATTTTAGGAGAATAAAGTCGTAGTCAAAATAAAGTCGTAATATTATGAGAATATAGGCTGCTTGGAAAGTATGAACGAGTGGAGAATTTGGAGCATTTTGTAAAGGAGAAGAATCCGTGTATCATTCGTTCATTCAACTGAACAAGGACTGAATCAGGACTAAATCGGGTCCGGAACCAAACCAGAAAGACCAGGATTGAGACCGGGATCAGACCAGGACTGAAAATGGTTTAGTCCTAGTTTAGTCCTGGTTTAAGTCACGGAAATGGGAAATGGCGTTTCCGTGACTTTAAAATGCCATGTGGGACTCTTGCGCCGCATACGGACTGAACCAGGACTGAACCAGTACTGAATCGGGACTAAACCAGGACTAAACCTTTTTCAGTCCTGGTCTGGTCCCGGTCTCAGTCCCAGTCTCAGTCCTGGTCCTGATCCCGGTCTCAATCTTGGTCCCTGACTCAGTCCTTGTCTAAGTCCTGGTCTCAGTCCCGGTCTGATCTCGGACCTCGTTTAGTCCGGGTTTAATCCTGGTTTAGTCCTGGTTCAGTCCTGGTTCAGTCCTGGTTCAGTCCTGGTTCAGTCCTGGTTCAGTCCAGAGGCGCAAATAATGAAGAAAATTGTAGTTCGTTTTCTTATATTTGATTTTATATTGGAAAAACAAGGTTCTTCTTCTGCTGCATTTTTCACTTTGACTTTGATTTTATTATGACTTCATTCTCGTAATATTATAACTTTATTCTCATAATATTACGACTTTATTTTAACTTCGACTTTATTCTCATAAAATTTCGACTTTATTCCTGTAAACTTATTTTTCGGACAAGGTGTGCTCTCAGTCAGAGGCACAACATTTTGGAACAGTCTGCCACTATCAATAAGAGAAACTTCAACTCCTGCCACCTTCAAGTCCTCCTTAAAAGAGTGGTTAAAGAAAAACCAGACTTGTGGACACTTTTAGTATAGATTTGTTACTTGTTTTTGCTTTGTTTAAATTTGTGGTGTTACCTGCCAAGGGACTACAGATGGAAATTAGCAGTCTTGCTATAATCTGGCATATTTACACTGCAATGTTGTAGATGTTCATTAATATGCACTGTCCCTATTAAATAAATAAATAAATAAATAAATGAATGAATTAATTAAAAAAAAACCTTATGACTTTATTCTCGTAAAATTTCGACTTTGTTCCTGTAAACTTATGACTTTATTCTCGTAAAATTACGACTTTTTCTGGCTTCGACTTTATTCTCATAATATAACGACTTTAATGTCGAAATGTTACGACTTTATTCTCGTAGCGCCAGCATGTTTTTTATTTTATTTTTTTAATTAATATTATTATTTAATTATTTATAATTATTTTATTAATTATATAATTATTAATTACATCCATACATTTAGGAAATAACAACAACAAGTTCTACAAAGTGTGGAAGTTCATAAAATAGATATAGATAGATATGAAATAATAAAATGAATGAGTAAATAAATGAGTATTTAGTGAGTATAATATGATGAGTGTCGTTAACGCGGTGCTCAGTGTTTGTGTGTGGACGCTAGCTGTTAGCTGCTGTTTGCTTTGTTTTGTCTGTGTTTCAGGTGTGGCAGCTCTTAACATCACCTCTAACCTGTACAGAGACCAACACGCGGTTTAGTAAGTAAATCAGATCTCGATGAATGGCAAAATGAAGTGACAGTAAAACTATAAACAAATAAACCTGACAGGGCAGAGGTTAGCTCATTCGAAGCACTGACTTAGCATAAATACCGCCCTTATCTGTGGAAACATACACTCTTATCCGCAATGTCTTACCCAAATCAAGCATGTCAACAGTCTCCGCACTGAGTATTGTGATCGGTTTTTCGCTGTTAACCGTCCTTTGAAGCCAAATTCGCCTTATTTTGATTTATTTGGGAGCTCGTCCGGCCCAAAAACAGCTGATTAACCATACACCGACGTCATCTCTGAGACCGAGTGGTTGTAAGACCCTCATGGAAGCGCTTTACAGATGCCTGACTGAAATTATTGTTAAGAAATAAAATAAAAGCTTAGCACGTTGAAAGATTTGGGGACTATACTTAATTATTCACTCAGAATATATATGTATATTATTTTTTATTATTTCTATTTTAGTTTTCAATATATAGTTATAGTATCATTGACGATGGCCATAAATGTTTAGTGAAATTAGAATATTTTGAACTGTGGACACCAGCAACAGTGTGAGGGCTCCCACTGTTTTTCTTTCTTTTAATTTTTATTTTTTAAATTTATTTTTTTAGTAGGAGCTTTGAAATTAGATACAAGTTTTCTGCCGACCGTGGCTGAATCAGAACCGCTTTCAAAACGATATACATCAGTATTTTACAACCACTAATTATTAACATTAACTAATTAAAAATAAATAAATAAATAAAAGCAGAGAAATTATATAATTTAGCCTTTAAATACTTACAATATCATGCATTAAACTGTATTATTTAAACCTGAGTCACAAAATTGGTCAGTCATATCCTCTGGAAAGCAACATACTGAAAATTTAAGTTAATTTCTGTTCTACTAGAAATACTACTTCACTTATTTTATTTATTTTATTTGTTTACATTTTGTATGTGCTAACTGCTGTAATTTCTTGTATTTAATTTCTTGTATCTTTTTGTGTTTTGTAAAGATATTTTGTTTCATTTATTCAATAACTGTATGATGACCTCTTGTGTTAAAATAAATAAATACAAAAAATATAAATAAAATAAAAGATTCTGTCCAGGCTTTAGGTTCTCGCGATATTTGCCTCCACGTGATTTAGCGTTACGCGGGTGCCCGAGAAGAAACCCCCGCCGCCAGCGCGAACGTGCTCCGTGCGGTGACCGGTGCGTCTTTCATTATAAACAACAGGAGAGTGACCGCTTAACGGGTAAAACTCCGCGATATTCTCACCGAGCGCGATCGTTAGACACCTATTAACTGACTATTCCCCTCCATTAAAAGAAGAAATCCGCCAAAATGTCCGAAAGCCCGTCCACCGAAGAACAGCGGGAGGAACAGACTGAACTTGATGAAGCCGGGGGAGCTGAGGTAAGATGCTTTTACAATGGGCTTTGTCTAAATTTGGCACCGTTTACGCATTTTTAACCTCATTTCTTCAGTTAAAACTCCCCGAGCGTTACCGTCCGTGTGTATTGATCTTAAATTCGTCGGGATTCCTCTTCTCTCTTTGTCAGTGCCGCCTGCTGCGTAGAGTTGTGCTAGTTTAGCCGCTTTAGCTCTTAGCTCCTGACAACAGCGCCTTCATCTCATCCACCGGGGAGGGAAGTAACAGTGGGGAGGACTTCATTTGTTGTGTAAGAGCCTATCCCAACAGCTTACCGCCATTAACTCTAATTTAAATCCCTCAAAATGTCTCCGTGTGTCTCATATTTTGGCAGAGCTGTGCGTAATTGGGTAAGTTGCGCCGCACTGTGCCATTTGCGCCTTTTGTTTTCAGGCTGAGGCATGGTGCAGTCTATTACACTTTCCATGAGTCTGTGTAATTGTTTTGTGGGTCCACATGCTGCCGCTGTTGCATGTTTTAACCTTCTTGTGTAAGTTTACATCGCTACTGGAGGTATAATCTTACAAATTTAAGACTAAAATGACAGCAGTGGCATTATGCAAGAGGCTATGGTGGCATCCCATAGTTTGAAATAGTCCCTCAATAGTCTAAAAACAGCCTGGACTACACATTGGCCTCACAAAATCACACTTTGCTGCACATTTACTTATCCTAAATGTTAAAAAATGACCATACCGGGCTGAAAGTACTGCTTTAAGTTTATAAATACTCCATTCTTCAGTTTTGTAAAAGGAAATTAAAGTCTTCTGCCACCATACTCTCCTCAGAATCTATGAAAAACACTGTGGACTATATTTTGGAGTAACAAAATTAGACTTTGCTGCTCATTGTATTATCATAAACTTGTAAAAGAGCGTACACTGGGCAAAAATGACTGCTTAAAAAAAGTTAAATATTGTCAGTAAGTGGCGTTTATACAAAATGAATGAGATTAAATGATTCAAATTAAAATAATTTGTGCCACCATAGGCTTAACAAACACTGTAAAATGTTGTGCGTTTATTCCGTACAGGAAAAGTCTGACTCCGATGCGGGGAAAGAGTCTTCCTCAGATGCTGGTGCTGATGGACCCGATGCCTCCTCTTCCTCCTTCTCCCCATCCAAAGCATCCTCAGCGGGCTATGAAGAGAAAGTGGTAAGAATTCTGTAAATAACATGACTTCTAGGCCTGTAATGACAACATATTTTGAAGTGCTATATATTGCTGAAGTAAATATAGATGTTTAACAATAATATTGAAAGCAAACCATGAAACAGAATCACCCTCAAAAAAGTATTCTTGTATTCATGAGCTGTAATAAGTGAATTAAAGTAAAATATAAGTAATATAGTGTAGTATAGTAATTATTGTGACTTATTGCTCATTAAATGATAGATAGAACAATATATTTGGGGGGGCATGTTTATAATGGAGACTTTTTCCTTGCATTAGTGGGAAAATGTTGGTTATTTTTCTGTACTTCTGTAAGATTTGAGCTGTAGAAGGTTGAATTATGAATGTCTATGACTCATTATAGAAACAAACTATGTATTTGTAACAATGTGTTATTTATTGCAGTTTTTTAACAATATGAACATTTAGACATATTATTTTGAACATTTTTAGGGGATAATAATAATAATAATATATAAATTCTACTTCATGGTTTGGCTTGAATATTATTGTTTATCGTCTATATTTACAGGCCTAATGATTTCTCCTCAATTCCACCACTGATTCACTGATTTCATATTTTGTTTTTGTAGAAAACCGATCGGACGAACAGGTTTGAATACCTGTTGAAGCAGACTGAGTTGTTCGCTCACTTCGTCCAGCCGGCCGCACAGAAGACCCCCACGTCCCCTCTGAAGATGAAACCGGGGCGCCCACGCATCAAGAAAGACGAGAAACAGAACCTGCTCTCGGCTGGAGAGTGAGCGATGACAGTTTTAATAATGCGCAATATTAAAATAGACGCCAACTGATCTCCGTTTATTGATTTTGTGTTTCCCAGCAACCGTCATCGGCGCACGGAGCAGGAAGAAGACGAGGAGCTGCTGAACGAGAGCACCAAGACGACCAATGTGTGCACGCGCTTCGACGAGTCCCCCTCTTGTAAGCACTTACTCTGCTGTTCTATATTTAACAGACCCACTAAATGAGATAAACTAAAAGGGTTCCCACACACGACTGAAAAATTCTGGGAAATAATTAGTTTTTCAGACATGGTAAACGCATAGAAATGAGAAAAAATGCCAAATCGAAATGATATGTTTTGTTTTTTCTCCACACTTTCCTTTGCTGTATCAACTTTGCTGTATCAACTTAAGTCTTTTACTGCCACCTATTGGAACGTTTGGGTATTAAAAAACAGCCACTCAAAATTCAATTAGTCAATAAAATTATTTTGCACAAATGTTAACCTAGTGATCTAATGTGTATTTGCATAATTCATTTACAATAATTGTGGCCTCCAGGTTTATCTGTATAGGTTTAGACCACATCTTTTATTATAATAACTGTATAAAAGGAGGTTATCTGTTTGGAGACGCTATAATTACATAACTTAAAAATGCCCTGGGAAATGATTTCAAGCAGAGTTTTGAAACTTCTAATTCTGTTTTCTTTTGTTGTCCAGATGTGAAGACCGGAAAAATGAGAGACTACCAGATCCGTGGTTTGAACTGGCTCATTTCTTTATATGAAAATGGAATTAACGGCATTCTCGCTGATGAAATGGTAAAGAAAAAGAAAGATTGCCATAACCAGGAGTGTTATAGTTTGACATCTAAATAGCTAAACTAAATATTCTTGATTTCCAGGGTTTGGGGAAAACTTTGCAGACAATTTCTTTATTGGGGTACATGAAGCATTACAGAAACATCCCCGGGCCTCACATGGTGCTCGTGCCCAAGTCCACCCTCTACAACTGGATGAACGAGTTCAAACGCTGGGTGCCCTCCCTGCGCGCAGTGTGCCTCATAGGAGACCGAGACCAGAGGGTATGTCAGTGAAAAACGATTAGGCCTGTCACGATAATTACTATATCAATCCATTTATTTTTACTTTTCTTACATCAGTCTTAGTCGTGTTGCCAGGGGTTCAAACGACAATACAGTTTTTGTTGGAATAGGAGCCAAGAAAGAAAGTCACAGTCAATAACAATTTCTTTTATATATTTTATGGAAATTACGATTAAATATTGACTTATCGTCTAATATATGAAAGATGAGGTAATTTTTTTTTTGTTATTTTTCTGTTCTACAATAAGATTTGAACTGTAGATGATCAAATAAATAACTTCTTAGAATGTTTTTTGGGGACAATTCCACTTTAGGCTTATTGTGTCAGAGCTATAATTAGATCAATAATGACAATATTGACACTATCTCTTAACATATTTTGTTATTGTGTTATTGTGACAAGCCTATAAATGATGACTAAACATATGTTATTAAGTTCTTTTTTCAGATCAAGAGTTTGTTTTCATAGCTGACAGTTTCGACTGCTCCCTTTGGTCTTCCTCAGAGTGGTCACATGATGTTGCTGTGATGTGTCCGGTCAGCTGATTTATACAGGTTTTGGCACTGTCTTCCTACCGGTGGAGGCAGGACGACAGCGCCATCTGCAGTCTGACTTCCTCAAGACAGTATCCCAGCGCCAAAACCTGTTTAAAGCTGAGAACGCAGGAACATCACGTGACCACTCTGAGGAAGACCGCTAGTGAGCAGTCGAAATTGTCGGGTATGAAGACAAACTCTTGGGCTGAAAAAAAAGAATCTAATAACATAAATTATCAGAAGAACAAATTAACCTCACTGGACTGATGACTAAACATAACAACAAATACTTACAACAAATCATGACAAGAAATACTAAATCAAACAAAACATGACAACAAATACTAAATGAATAAATGTATGTATGTGTTTGTTTTTCCTTTGTTTTTAGACTGCACTGATCAGAGATGTGCTGCTGCCTGGAGAATGGGATGTGTGCGTAACATCCTACGAAATGTTGATCATTGAAAAAGCAGTGTTCAAGAAGTTTAACTGGAGATACCTGGTCATTGACGAAGCTCACAGAATCAAGAACGAGAAGTCAAAGGTTTGAAACAGACTTTGCTTTAGTTTTTGTGTTTATTTTTTTACATAAATTAACTTTCAAAATGTCAAATTGCAGTTGTCTGAAATCGTGCGAGAGTTTAAGACCACAAACCGTTTGCTTCTGACCGGAACCCCGCTGCAGAACAACCTGCACGAGCTGTGGGCGCTGCTCAACTTCTTACTGCCAGACGTCTTCAACTCCTCTGAGGTACGATTCGATTTTTAAAGATCCTATGTTACTTTAAGCCATGTTATAATGTTTTTACCTCATCAACCTCCTCATAAATTTAATACTTGATTAAAGATGTATCTAAGCTGCATTTATACATTCATTTATTTGTTTAATTCCACTCTGAACTAACTTTTTAAAATCTTTTTTCTCCCCACAACAGGATTTTGACTCGTGGTTTGACACAAATAACTGCCTGGGAGATCAGAAATTGGTTGAACGTCTTCACACTGTATGTACTTAATCCAAGATATTTTCAGAAAAGTTTCCAAATACAGTTGTAATTAGAATCTTTAAGTTCTTCTCTTCACGTTCTGTTTGTTTGTTTAGGTGTTGCGTCCTTTCTTGTTGCGTCGTATCAAAGCTGATGTAGAAAAAAGTCTTTTGCCGAAAAAAGAAATCAAGATGTACATCGGCCTGAGTAAGATGCAGCGAGAATGGTGAGTGTTTCTTAGTTTCTTAGTTTAAATTAGTTAAAAGGAAAAATATGATATAAGTCGATGCACTGATTTTATGATATTTCAAAACTCTTTATAAAACTAGCAGAACTATTTCCTTATTTTCAAGGTTTAAGATTTCTTTATTAGTATCTAAGAAGAGTAAATTTTTTAGCAGAAGGGATCACAGCAGCCCAATAACATTCAAACTAAAACACACAAAATTACACAGATACATCAGGAATTCAACACTAATGTCCTATTTTCATTAACTCTCTAAACTATAGAAAACCATATTTTTAAACCGTCTTGTTTTAGGTACACAAAGATCCTGATGAAGGACATTGACATTCTGAACTCGGCCGGTAAAACGGACAAGATGCGTCTGCTGAACATCCTGATGCAGCTGAGGAAGTGCTGTAATCACCCGTACTTGTTCGACGGAGCGGAGCCCGGACCCCCCTACACCACCGACCTCCATCTGGTCGTCAACAGCGGCAAGATGGTGGTGCTGGACAAACTGCTGCCCAAACTCAAGGAGCAAGGTGAGGCAGAGTCGAGAGAACTGAAAGGATTTAACAGTGTTCAGTCAAACTCATGCTGGTTTTCACTATATAGAAATTTTTACTCATTTTTAGTAGAAAAAACACTGTGTTATTATGTTTTCAGTTCATCTTCATTCTGGACTCATGGTTCATTTTTAAAACCAACAAGGACAGTGACATCACAAAACAACAAACATTTAAGATTTTAAGACAGTACTGAATCTCATATTTGTGAGTGACATTATTATTTCATTGTCCGATTTATTCAGTCTGCAAATAAAACTGTGCAAGCTGCTCTAAGAATTTTAATGTAAAGTCTTCACTCGTGCAGTAACAAACATCTCAATCGCATTCGTACATTGTGGCCTCCTCAAAATCACCCGCAAAGTTCATTGTAGGCCACCTGTAGTCTTTGCAAACGGTCTTTTTTGTACTTTATGCAGAGGTGGGCTGTGTACAATGGTGTATTTAAACAAATACAACTTTACATCATTTGTTCAAGAACCAAACTTGCGCATAAAAGTATTTTGCGCGAGCGTAGAGCGTCCTACGCTGTCTATACGTATCATCATCATCTGCAATATTCACAGTGATAATATGCCCAAAGTATTTATCTTATATTATATTTATTAATTTATGTTATTATGATATTAGAATGTTTTTTTTGTTTTTTTATGTAAATCAAATCTACTCTGTCATATTACTATTTGACTCTTTACTAGTCCTATTCTAACTATTCAGGAAAGGTCTGATTCTTTTTTTTATTATTGATTCTTACTAACATTAATATCTAGCTTCAGTACTAGTTTTAATGTTTATTAGTGTCTGAGTTACCAGTACATTCATCAAACCTAATTCAAGCAGCATTTATTAAAAAGGTGAACATTTAGTACACACATTTCAAAGTGAAGTTCTTTGAGAAATTGGGGGAAAAAACATGTTTACCTCCCCGACCTAACATCTCTGCTCTGTTTGATGTCCAGGGTCCCGTGTCCTCATCTTCAGTCAGATGACCAGGGTGCTGGACATCTTGGAGGATTACTGCATGTGGAGGAACTACGGCTACTGTCGCCTGGACGGTCAAACGCCTCACGAAGAAAGACAGGTGTGACAAACGACAAATATGAACCGTGCTGCTTTTCCGTAGGGCTGGATTTCACACAGTCTTATTTTTCCCAGATCTCTATCAACGTTTTCAACGAACCCAACAGCAGCAAGTTTCTCTTCATGTTGAGCACCAGAGCCGGAGGTCTGGGCATCAACCTGGCCACAGCCGACGTCGTCATCCTGTACGACTCCGACTGGAACCCCCAAGTGGATCTGCAGGCCATGGTAACGTTTGAATTGTTTGCGCAGACACAAAAAGACTATCTATCTTGTTTATATAGCACATTTCATAAACAAAACAGTTTCCAGTGCTGCACAATACAGATAACAAAAAAAAACAAGTGCTGGGAATATAAAATAAAGGTCTATTTAACTCCACTAGTCCTTGTTAAGAAAATAAAACTAGTTAAATTAAATTAAATAAAGAGCAAAAATAGCAGTAAATAAAAAGGTAGTACAGAGGACCATACTCAAGTGGTGTAAAAAAAATAAAAAAGTTAAAATAAAATAATAATAATAATAATAATTTAATAAAATAATAACAAATTTAATACATTACGTAAATAAAATTAAAAATAAATAAAATAAAAATAATTAATACATAAAATAACAAATAAATAAATACATTTTTAAAAAGTGGGTCTTAAGACGAGACATTCCACATGGTTCCCACAGTCATGGAATTTTAGTATCCCTTTCACACAACTATAGCATTCTGTTAAGTTCTCATTAGGTTATTATGATTATTTCCGAATGTCTGCTCCTTTTGTTTAAAAGAGACGACAATAAATGCACTGACAGGATTTTGAATGTTAAAAAACTATAAAACCAAACCATAAGGTGAGTGAAAAGGGTTAACATTTCATATTTAGCCCTAAAAGTCTGATCAGTTCTACACACATAGGGTGCTGTAAAGTCATGGAAAAATTCACTTTAGGTCATGAAAATGTTTTGAGATTTTGTCAGTGAAAAAGAGTGGGAACCCTGGCTCCGCTGTGAGGGCTGTTCAGACATGCGGGAGGCAGAGTGGTCCTATAATGCAGAGGGACAGACTGTGTAATCCGTTTTTTCTTTTCAGGACCGAGCTCACAGGATCGGTCAGCAGAAGCAGGTGCGTGTTTTCAGATTCATCACCGAGAACACAGTGGAGGAGAGGATCGTGGAGAGGGCTGAGATGAAGCTGCGATTAGACTCCATTGTGATCCAGCAAGGTAGTTTTTCACCACTTGTACCTGCATTTTGGATAAATATTTTTGTCGTTTCTGTTCGTAGCCAACAACTCCTGTACTTAAAATGGATTAGTGAGAGTGTTAAGACATGTTATAATGCTGTTGCTCCTCAAAAAATATCCAGAGTTGTGTTTTAGTTGTTGTGGAAAAAATATGTGTATCTTGATGATAAATAATTAATCCATTTGTGAAGCCCAGAGTTGTTTTGTTTCATTCACACATTTGAATAATCCTGATTTATTAGGCTGCTCTTTGTAGTGTTAGTTTTCAAGTTAACAATTACATTTTTACTTTTTGTTCAGTAGAGATTGTCAATCTGAGGGCTGAAATCAACCAAATAATTCTAGTGAAGGTGCATGGCATTTAAAAACACAAAGAACTCAGCCTAAATATGCAAGATTTGTGTGTTAAACATGTGTGAATGAAATAAAACACTCCAGTTCTGTTTGTGAGGAGGAAACAACATTAAAACAGATCAGAAAACGGCGTAATATGGGCTCTTTTAAACTTTCTCAGGACGACTGGTGGACCCGAGCGCCAACAAACTGGGCAAAGATGAGATGCTGTCGATCATCCGTCACGGAGCCACACACGTTTTCTCCTCTAAAGAGAGCGAGATCACGGATGATGACATCGACGCCATTCTGGAGAGAGGAGAGAAGAAGGTAAGGCTGTAATCGAACTCATAAGAATAACCGTAGTATTTGAGTTTTTGTGATGTTTTAACTAAACTCTGACTGTGGCCTCGCAGACGGCGGAGATGTCGGAGAAACTGTCGTCTCTGGGTGAAAGCTCTTTGAGGAACTTCACCATGGACACGGAGGGCAGCAGCGTCTACACGTTTGAGGGGGAGGACTACAGGGAGAAGAAAAAGGTCTTTTGTCCTGTTAATTATTTACAAATTTGTCTAAGCTGTCCAAAAAATACTAATCTTCTAATTTGCTGTTTATTAAAAAAAATCAAAACAGGTCATTACCAACTGGATCGAGCCTCCCAAAAGAGAAAGGAAAGCCAATTACGCTGTGGACGCTTACTTTAGAGAAGCTCTGAGAGTGAGTGAGCCCAAAGCCCCCAAGGTACGCATTTCTATTTCTGTTTTATTTATTTATACGAGTAGTTGTTTATGCATTTATTTAACATGGTTTTGTTTTGTGTTTTAGGCTCCAAGACCTCCTAAGCAGCCAAATGTCCAGGACTTCCAATTCTTTCCACCACGACTTTTTGAGCTCCTAGAAAAAGAAATTCTCTTCTACAGAAAGACGATTGGCTACAAGGTACAGAGACTATTTTTATTTAGTTTCTTTTTAAGTAGGGCAGCATTTAACTATTTCTTGATTATTCCTACCCTCTTTCAGTGAACATAATCTCAAAATAATTGTTGTTGCAGTTTTAAGGATGTTTTCTGTGTGTAATGTTTGTCATATTCAGTGTGTACCTGTCTCTGCTTTAGGTCCCTCGTAACCCAGAATTGCCAAACTCAGCTCAGGTCCAGAAAGAGGAGCAGTCCAAGATCGATGAGGCAGAAACGCTAACGGAAGAGGAACTAGAGGAAAAGGAAAATCTGCTACAACAGGTAAGTTATTCCGTATCTGAAAGCTGTAGATGAGGAGACTTTTTTTGAGGAATCGTAGAAACATCTGTGGAAAAACTGTGTAACCAGAGACATAGAGTGTCCCAAAAAAATTGACATAATTTTAAAAGCAATTATCTTGAAAACTACAAAGTCTAGCTCGGTGATGATGCTGGTGTTGGTCTATCAGATCGTTTATCCCTGCATAACCAGCCTTCCTCTTAAAATTTTTGAGTCCAAATTTCTTTGCCAGTTGATGCTTTTCCAAATTTTGGGTGTGTGCGGACAGATTCCAAGACACAAAATGACTTCTCTTTAGGAGTCAACGGCATGACTCAACCTGAAAACAAGCAAACACTAAACATTAAATATAAAATCTTCATCTGTTTCTATACATTTTGTGGAAATTTGAGGTTATTTCAAAATTATTGGGCTGCGAAATGTCAAATTTATGTATTGAAAAAATGTGCTCTGTAACTGTTGTTGTTGTGCTTCTCATTTTGATCTTTAAAATCTTCAGATTAACCCACTCTACATGATCCTGGTGTTTTCATTTCGCTATTATGTCTGTAAATCAGTTCCTATTCCCAATATTGAAATTGGCTCCAAACTGCAGGCCTCAGTGAGCTTCATTTGACTGGATCTGAACACTGTCCTTAGTCCACTTCTTTATACAGTTTATGGGTGTTACCTAATGAAACTGCTAAAGAGACAAAGAATAAATTATCACACTGTCACTTTCCTAAAACCCAGGGCTTTACCGCATGGAACAAACGCGACTTCAATCAGTTCATCAAAGCCAACGAGAAATGGGGACGTGATGACATCGAGAACATCGCCAGAGAGGTGGAGGGTAAAACTCCCGAAGAGGTCATGGAATATTCAGGTAAAAACATGAAAATACATAGATATGATTTGAATTAGTTTAGATTTTTGTTGCTAAACGTGTGTATGTGTACATGTGCAGCTGTCTTCTGGGAGCGCTGCAACGAGCTACAGGACATAGAAAAGATCATGGCTCAGATCGAGAGAGGAGAAGCCAGGATTCAGAGAAGGATCAGCATCAAGAAAGCACTGGACTCAAAGGTATGTTTAAAAGAATTGCGATTATGTTTAGATTTCTGTCAAAAGTATCGATAGATCAGTCAATCAACAACTTAAATCCTAATAGGCAATTCATTTCGCTTATCTCTGGTCGTGCACAAGCCATAAATAATTTAAATTAAATCAAAAAGAAAAACAAATACATACAACAAACGCCATACATTCAAACCTCAGTGCATCAGGGACACAAAAGCAAATTTACTTTCCATTTAAAAGCTTTATGGCAGAAGGAATAAAAGATTTAGCGTAGCGGTTGGTCTTTTGTTGTGGAGTGACATATAGTCTCCCAGAGGACATTTGCACAAACTGTGAGCGCAGTACATGGTTAGCTTGGCTCAGTATGGTTGATCTTAGTCTTTTGGAGCGGCCTTTGTCTCAAACCAAATCCTCCATCTGAACACCACTGATTTGCCACACACTTTTACTACTTTTGGTTCAGACTGTGCTCATCTTTCACAGATAACCCATAAAACCAACAAGTAAAAGAAAAAGTCAACAAACTTTCAATAAAGGAATGATACAAATTATTTAAAATGTTTGATGACACGGTAACACTTTATAATAACTACACCTTATTTAGCCTTATTTAACCACCTGGTTTTAGCCACATTCAAGTAGTCAGGATGGTGCCACCTAGTGCCTCCACTCAATTTCATTTCTCTCCAGCGACTAGGTCAGGAATCGGAATACACTAGACGGTTCGCAAAACCCCGGAAGTGCGAGTTCGGGCACCAGCCAATCAGCAAAGATTCATATATTCTGTGATGACAATGATTCCCAAAATCGAGGATTTAAAGCGGGAACATAGAGAATGTTTGGTGAATTTTATCAAGGGGAAAAGACGTTATTGCTCTTCTTCCTACGGGATTTGGGAAAAGCTTAATATACCAGTTAGCCCCGTTATCGGTGCATTACATACATCACGACCAAACAGCAGCGATTGGTTAAATGATAAAAAGTCCCCGCCTAACATCGAGCGAACGAATTCCAACACTGCAAGGTTACAGTTTCTACGAAGTGAAACCAGCTGATGAATTGGGCGAACATTCAAGTCCAAATGGTTATTATCACACCATTCCAACTGATACCAAAACTAGTATTGAAACTAGACACTCATTTGAACAGGTATTGATACTAAAAAAGTCAGAGTGACAGGACAAAAATGAGCCTTTCCTGAATAGTTTTAGAATGATCTTGAGCTGAATCAGACGAACACAGACTAGTATACACCCATGGACCATTATGGAATCTACCTGGACCACTGAAGGATTACACAGTTATAAAACCATGTGAATAAAGACTTTTTATTATCATCATGGTATCAAAATCTGTATGAAGTATCAAGTCTGTTCCTTTGTTTTGAAATCAAGTTGCAAATTTTAGTATCATGACAACGCTACTGTAAATTAAACATTTCCTGACCTCTTCTCTCTCCGTTAGATCGGCCGCTACAAGGCTCCATTCCATCAGCTCCGCATATCGTACGGCACAAACAAAGGCAAGAACTACACGGAAGAGGAGGACCGCTTCCTCATCTGTATGCTCCACAAACTCGGCTTCGACAAGGAGAGTGTCTACGACGAACTGCGCCAGTGCATCCGGAACTCGCCGCAGTTTCGCTTTGACTGGTTCCTCAAGTCCAGGACAGCCATGGTGAGTGTTTCGTTTGCTTGGTAGTTTAAAGGTTTTATATTATGCAAAACAGATTTTAGTGAGCTTTAAAGGTGCACTGTGTAACCAATCTGCATTTATTTAATTAGATGTTTTTATGGCCTAGAAAATCAGTTATTATCACCATGAGCAGGGTCAGCTCGGTTACTCATTGCACATTTAAGACACTCTATAAAGTATAAATGTATATAAAACAGACCCAGAGTTGTTTTGTTTCATTCACACATTTTTGAGTAATCCTGTATTATTAGTCTGTCTACATTTCCAAAACTAATAATGCTCTGGTTCACCTTGTGATGTCATGAAGTGGTGGTTTTCAGGTTAACGGCTCCTTTTTACCTTTTGTTCAGAAGAGATTGGTAATTCCAGGGCTGAAATTCTCCAAATTATTCCAGTGAACGTGTATGGAGGACTTTTTTTTATTTTTTTTTATTACCATATGACATCACAAGTAGGGGTGTGCAAAAATATCAAAAATGTATATATCGTATTGTTTAATGTACTGATACAGTATCGATATCATGGGCCGCTGTATCAATATATCGCCAAGAAGTATATTTTGGTATATTTTACTAAATAATTTTGTTACAGCGCTACAGTTTTGTTGCTTGTTTAGTAGAAGGAAACTTGTTTATGCGACAAGTTTGACATTTTTGATGAGTCAAATGTTTCTTAAACCACTTGTTGTGCGAATTTAATATGAAACACAAAGACTTTTAGTGTCACAGCCATGATTTAACTTTTATTTTTTATTGAATCAACTCGAAAGCTCACTGTATCAAAATATGTATCGTGTCGTGACCCATGTGTCGAGGTATGTATCGTATCGGCAACTTCTTAATGATACGCAGCCTTAATCACAAGGTGGAACAGTGTGTTTCCAGTATGAGAGTCATAAATATTGTGCTGAATAACTAAACTGATTTAATTAAATGCCTAGTATCATTTGTAAATGTGATGACTAATAAATGGATAATAGTTGTGTCAATGTTTTATAGCCATCAAACTCTCCCTCATCTAAGGCTCAATTTCTTCAGTTTTTGTTTTGAAAATGTAGCTGAGCAGAGGAAAAAAATTGGAGACCCCTACCATAGCCTATAAATATATATTTTTTGAATAGATTAGAAAAAAAAGATGTCAAAACTGTCAGGTATGAAAACAAACTGAACCTTGGTTAGAATAAATTACCGGAAGAGCACATGAACCTCGATTGGACCACAGCCTAAATATGCCGGGTCTGTGTTTTCAGCATGTGTGAATGTTAATATTAAGTGCATATTTTTCTCCAGGAGCTGCAAAGGCGCTGTAACACACTGATCACACTAATCGAGAGGGAGAACATGGAGCTGGAGGAGAGGGAGAAGGCCGAGAAGAAGAAGAGAGGACCAAAGACTGGATCTGTAAGACTTTAAACTCTGTTCTATAGAATCATCCAACACATTAATGTAAAAAAACACCCAACAGCGAACCTACATAAACATGAAAAACCAAACACTGAACCTACATAAACATGAAACGCCAAACACTGAACCTACATAAACATGTGCCTGTCATTTCCTCCTCAGGCTCAGAAGAGGAAGTCTGAAGGGACCCCAGATGGACGCGGACGCAAGAAAAAGCTCAAGTTGTGAAGACGTCAACATAAATTCCCTGAGAGCAGCTGTGGTCCCAGTATGGTTAGCCCTAGTGTCTGTAATAATGTACTGTCGCCCCCTAGTGGACTGATGTCGTCATGTTCGGTAGAGGTGCTTGTCACTTCGGAACACTGCAGCTGTGCTGGTCTAGTTTTATTGGCTAGTCATTTTTTACTAGTGCTTTACTCAAATGTATTTATGCCCGTTGGTTGTACCACATTCCATTGCTTGAACAATATGTACCATTTTATTTTAAGAAATCTGTTCAGTTCTTTCTATGTGAAGTAGGAAATGTTTCGAACTTCAAAATAAACGTCCCTTTTTTTAATAAGTGTGTGAATAAATAAAAACACGAGAGTTTCCAAAAACATTTATATTTGGCAGCGGAAGAATCATCCAGATTTCAGCTGACGCACAGACAGCTGATGATAAAACACATAATATATACGGTCATATGAATATAGAATTATAAATTTGATACTGCACCGTTTGAGGAGTGGTTCTTTCAAGTTTCACCAGGGTTTACTTCTATTGTATATACAGATTGTTTTGCATCCAATTACACCCATAATTAGCAGAAAAAATGTAAAAATAAAAAATTGCATTTTTAAAAATAACATTTACAATCCCTTTCAGTGACACCATAATGGTAATATTATTACTAAGCCTGGGCCTGTACATTCACTGTGGGCTTTTTAAACCCCGCAGTGGCATCAGTACTAAACACATTTTCATTCAAAGTCAGTTTCAGCCAACATTCAGTCTGTTCTTTACTCTTCACAGAACAATTAACAGTGAATCACAATATTAAAAATAGTAAACTAATTAGCGGAGGTACAGAAAATTCTCATAAGTTGGGCTTGCATGCATTTGCAAACAATTTTTTACAACCTGATGACCAACCAAATCAATATAAACTACATTTCAAGTGGCTCCTATGATAAAAATAACTACATTTGAGGCATGAAGAAGCGCCAACATTCTGTGCAGTCTGCAGGATGTGATCTGCTCGACTCAGTGCTACGTCAGTAAGGCGGGAGGAGCTGGAGGAGACGAGTCTTTACAAAGTGACTGGCACTAGACCTCCGAGCTGTCTAACCCGCCCCACATGCTGGCAGTGCCCTGGCTGTAGCCGTGGTACGCGGAGGACGAGGACGTGTGGTAGGGCGGCTGCTTCTTCTCTTTCTTCTTGCGTCTCACCAGGAGAATCACCACCACAGCGATGATGCAGGCCAGGAGGATCATACCCGCCAGTCCCACCAGCAGGGGCAGCATGGAGGAGTCAGTGGGCTCCCTGCCAGAGCTCTCCAGCAGGGGGCGCTCCTGGTAAGCCTCGCGCTCCCTGCCAGGAGACCAGGGCTGGCGCTGGCTGATCACCAGGCGGTCCGAGCGGTCCAGGGCGATGTGCTGGATGTTGGTGCCGCGGTTGTTGTCCACGCCGATGTCGAGGGCGGGGCCGGGGAGCGCGGGGGCGGCGCGGCGGTGGCGAGAAGAGGGCGGGGCGAAGGAGGACATGCTGTGCTGCAGGTACTCCACGCTGCGTTTGCCGATGTTACGGTTGGCGTTTTCTTTGGAGCGGACGGTGTAGATGGTGTGGATGAACCATTCTCTGCCAGCAGCCACCTGGACATAAGAACGTAGATTTTAAACAGATTTCCTCATTTATTTTATTTTAACTTCACTTATAATAATTGATCTTAACTTATTCTTATTATATTTTTACTTATTTTTACATATTTATTTAATTTGTTTATAAATACAACAAAGAGTGTAGTTTACACCTACACAGAAAATACAACAGTTATTCACTTTTGTCAGTTTAATTTCTAGAACAAGACATTTTTCACTAAGATCAACTAAACCAAATTAAATATGCCGCAGCCTTAAAAATACTGTATATGCCACTGTTTATATTGTAAAAAAAATTAAAAATATACTAAAATAAAATGTGTAATCATTAATAGCGATGTAAAAAGTGGAAGAAATAAAATATATTGATTTAATTTAATTTCTTGCACATGTTTTTCCAATGTGGTTTTTAACTACAAATGGAAAGTATTTAGTTAGTTAATTCATTTTCCTCTGTCAATTGGTATAATCATGAATCATATGACAATGATTTCATGAGTAACAAAAATAATGCCTAACGTTATTGCCTAACCCTCAAATGAACTAACTTAACCTCTAACAGCCCAACTACTGCTGCCGTTTGTACCACTCCTGTAGGAAGAAAGTGAAAAAGTGCTCACCTGGAAGAGTGGAGAGGAGGAGAGGGTGAACCCGTCTGACCCTGGCTGTTTGATCAGAGCCAGAGCTCCTGGAGTATCATAGGCCAAAGTCGCCCTGAATGCAACATCACCGAACGCTGTGGCCTGGGTCTCCGGCTGAGCTTTGTCCTGTAAAAACAACAACACGCAACAACTCAGAAATGTTTTAGAATTTACATGATCAGTCAAAAGTTTGGACACAAGAGCTTTCTTTATTTCAATTTATTTACATGGTAAAACTTTCATTGGAGGCATTAAAACTATGACTGAACATGTATGGGATGTAGTGAACAAAAAATAAACTAAAAGTAGCTCAAAACTTCTTTTAAGATTTTGACAAGGACGTAGGTTTGCAACAGGAACGGTGGGACATGTCACAACCAATATTTGGGGAAGACAAAATAGTCCCTACCAATATTTGCCATTTTATTTTGATAAACAAAAATATACATTTATTCTGATATTTTTCCAAACTCAGTAGTATTAATTGAACACGTTTTAGTTCACATTTTGTTTATTAGACGTTCTGAGATGTATTCAGTGATATGACGACAGGGTTACTCCTGCCGCTATTTCATTGGCTGTAACAGAGTGATGTCATTAGTTGTGCTGGAGCCTAAACTGGGAAAGCAGCAGGACAGGGCCGCACCTGAAGATGTCGGCTTGAGCAGGTGTGAGTGAAGACGCTGCACCAAACTAAAAAACTTTTCAAAAGCAACTTACTCAGCTTCATCTTCAAATAAACTTGTCTTATAATGAGTCGCAGCGGAAAAAGAGCGACGATCACCACAAGTTCACCTCCCAAACGGAGCCCTACTCGTGCGACTGTGAGCAGCCGGACTCTACTGACAATATTCCATGGAAAAATGTACGGACGTGACCTCACAAATATCTCATCACCAACAAGCAAATGCAAATCTGATTAAATCTGATTATTGATAATGTCCCCCCAAAGCCAGAACCAAACCTACGCCCTTGGATTTTGAAAAACATCCACTCTTTGCTTTGATCACTGCTTTGCTCTTGTGGCATTTCTTAACTCTGACAAGACAAAGTTGTGAAGTGAAAAGGAATGAAAACCATTTCAGGAGACTTCATTGTGAGGCTCAATGAGAGACCAAGGATTTGCAGTGCCTTCGACAAAGCAAACTGTGGATACTTGGATGCTCTTTATTTAAAATATGAAAAAAAAAAAAATCTTACAATTAATTAATCTTAATTACAATTACTACATTTTTACTACATTACAATACAATTACATATTTCTTGTATCATATCGTTCATATATTTTGGATGTATGTAACATAGAAACCCGTAAATATGTAAAAAGACACTCAATGTGATGGTGTGTCCAAACTTTGACTTGTTGTGTATATATTTTAAGTTTTGGCCTTTTTGTGCATTTAATTTTCCTTTTTACTTACCAGAATCTTGAATCTGTAGAGCAGAGACGGAGAATCAGCCAGGCAGCCGTACTCTTTGTTCGTGGGGTTGTACTTGGGCACGTATCCATCCGCCCCGGTGCACAGGAACACCTTTTCGATGCTGCAGGAGAAGGACTCGCCCAGGTTCTGCACCGGGTCCACCATCACACGGCCATAGATCGTAGAGCCTGAAAACCAGAAAATACAGACACATCTTTGAGTCTGGAAACATTTAACATTATAAAACCTGAAAATAGCATAATATGGGCCTTTTAAAATTTCTATGGACCCATATTCTTTTTATTCTTTGGAAGTTGAAGTACAGTATAGGTGATTTACTTGCGTTCCACAAGAGGGCAGTGTTGTCTTACCTTCTGAAAATGCAGTATCAGATCCTTCTCCAAAGCCCATGGAGCCGTCAGACAACCACAGCTCTTTCTTGGATAACAGGAACATTTGAGTGTTGAGGCTGAACTCGGCGGCAACTGGATCTGACACCTGCACAGTGACACAAAATTAAATGTAATAATATTTATTGACAAAAAATGTAATTAATCAAATCCTAGAATAAAAATATAATGACTTTGCTGGTATTTCTAAAAGTCTCTCCTCAAAATAATGTGTGTTTGGGTTCTTTAAAAGGCCCATATTACACTATCCTCCGATCGATGTTATTGTTACGGCCCGAGGTCTTTAGTTCTAATTTGTTTCGTGTGTTCTAAATGATTTTGCTCCTGATTCCTGCTGTGGGAGCCCTGGTCCGTGATTGGTGGGGCATGTCTACGCCCACCTCACCTGCAGCCACCGCCCCCTATTTAAGGAGAGCACCTGTAGAGGCTGCTGGTCTTTGTGGCCCGTATGCTATTTTGTGTTTGTGTGTGTAGTTCTGTTTTGTGCCTTTTTTTAAAAATGTGGTCACTCGATTCTGTTTGTGAGCTTATGTGGTTTAATTTGGGGAACTTGTTTCGTGTGTGTCCCTTTGTTAACCACTCGTTTTGTGTAAGCCTGCGTGACCTGCGTGACCCCTTTTGTGGCACAAAACTCAGTTTATTCTGTTGTTATGTTTCTTAGTTTAGGTTATTTTCTGTATATTTTAGTCTTTTGTTAATTTACCTTTTACACCCCTGTTAATTAAACATTATTTAATTTATTCCACTTTACATCTTGGTTTTATTTTTGTTACTTCCCTGTCCCGAGCAGAGCTGGGTCGTAACAGTTATAATGTTGTTTCCTCATCTCAAACATACCTGGAGTTCAATTAGTTTCATTCACACATTTAAACAGCCTAATAATTCAGGGTACTAAACATGTCTGAATGAAACAAAGTTCAAAGTTCGCTTTATTGTTAATTTCTTCACATATACTAGACATACAAAGGAATCTATATTGTTTCTCTCTATCCAATGTGTTGTCTTTTTTTTCTAGTGGCACAAGACAGTCTTTTTTTAGGGGGGTCAGGAGGGGTCTGAGTCCAAGTGTACAAAACAACACAACTCCAGGTAAGTTTTTGATGAGGTGTCAACATTATAACATGGCTTAAAGCTCACAAGAATCAGCTTTATGTAATATAAACCTTTAAAAATGTTTTACCTGCTGGAATCGAATGTCCATGTCAAAGGTCAGAGGCTCCCTTGGGTGACAGACTGGGGGGATACTGAACTCCCCGTTGGGCGACGCGATGCAGGGGACCAATTTCACCGTGTAGGTTCCAGAATAATCACGCACCTACAGGTCACATACACAAACACAATATCAATACACGTTACTTGTATAAAAATTTTATTATTATATGACTTGGACTTACGGCAAAGTCTGAGACAAAACTCCACTGCTGCATGGGCTGGTTGTAGGTGGGCTCAGTCCGGACCAGGCTGAGGGAGAAGGTGAGGCCAGGGTGGTCCGCACAAATCACTATAGAGGAAACACTGGTGCCTGTGGGGGAAAAGATTGACTGGTTTACATCAACTGGTTCAGACCTGGTGCCGTTCAAATCATAAGCCCAAGAACGTCTCATGTTTGAACTTTTATTATATAAAGCGGCTCTATAGTAGCCTGATTCATCAGCCGGTTTCACTTCGTGGAGACCGTCTGACCTCTCAGCATTAGGATTCATTCACTCGACAGTAGGCGGGTACTTTTTTTATATAACCAATCGCTGCTATTTGGTCGTGACGTATGTAATGCGCCGGAACGCTCAGTGGTGTCCAAGGAATTGTCGACACAACAGCAAACAAAGCAGAGAGTGAACATGTCTGTCAAGGATCATTGTCGTTTCTGCGAGGTGAACTTGTGAATTAAAGGTGCAACAAAAAATGCGAAGTTTGTATTTGACAAAGGAGGATAACGTATGCTTTAAAATGTTATTGCCCTTCTTCCTACGGGATTTGGGAAAAGCTTAGTATACCAGTTAGCCCCATTAGTGGCGCATTACATACGTCATGTGGTTAAATAATAAAAGTACCCACCTACTGTCGAGCAAACAAATTCTAATGCTGTGAGGTCAGACGGTTTCCACGAAGTAAAAATGGCTGATGAATCAGGCTAAGTGTATGCAGTCTGCTACCGCAACTCGGGTTAGTTCAGCTCTTCCCTGATTGGCCGGTGTGGGGTCTACAACTTTCGGGGTTCTTGCAAACCGTTTAGTGTATTCTGATTCCAATTCCTGATCTAGTCGTTGGAGAGAAATTAAATTGAGCGGAGGCACTAGGTGGCACCAGCCTGACTAGTTCTGTAAATATTTGAAAGATAAATAAAACAACTGGCTCATTTGTGTAATTGTGTTTTAAGGAAATAAGTGCCAAATTTCCACCAGGTATCTGCATATATTTGAATTCTAAATATCGTAACTGTTTTTTTTTTTTTTTCCTAGAATCATTTTAATTATTTATTTTTTGTTTAGTTTCACCTGACAAAATTTGACACTGAGGAAAACTAAAACCTAATGCAGGGTTCTAATCTTTTATTGTTTTGTTTTAATTATTTTCTTTATTGATTCTTATGCGTCTATTTGACTGTTGTGTTTATTTGTTTTTACTCAGTTGTTTTTATTAAGTTTTTATTGCATTAAATTGTAGATTTTCTATTTTTATTTTTCAGTCTTTGTTTATAAAATGTGCTACAGAAATAAAGTGGACTGGGTTGTCTGTGTGCATCTGTGTGTGTTTGTGTGTCTGTGTGTGTGTTTAGAGGCTCAGACTTTCACTAATGAGAAAGTGGGCAGAATTACCAACGGTTGGTTTCAAATATATGTTATCAAAAATTGTTCTTTATAGCTTAAAAAGTCTGATTTTGCAAGATGTGTGACTTTCTGTACCTGTCTTTAAAAAGTGACTATGAGACTATGAGCTGTATTTTAATCCTGGTTCAGATCTTCATTTAGACCTGGTTTAGTCCAAACATTCCTTCATACATCAGTAATGCAGCAGTTGTCTTTATCATCCCAATTATCTGTAACGTTTATTTCCGTAACAGCCTTTTTACATTGTTCATGCCTCTTGTTTCCGTAGTCAGACCCCCACAGGTTCATTTTGACATTTGCTGAAATGACCTCTGACACTTTACACCGGAAGGACCCCAGTGAAGACCACCAGAAATAGATGAAGGGAAAATGTGCCACATATAATCCTACAGTAAAGCCACAGTAGCTGCAGCTGCACAGAGCTCAGGGAAAAGTTAAACTGTTGGAGTTAAACAGGAGCAGAGCACTGGTCCTGTACCTGGATGAATCATGACAAACTGTCCTCTGAAACGAGCCTCGGTCTTAAAGTTGACCACCAGGCGGCCCTCTTCATTTATCCTCATGCTGGTCGGGTACATCGCGCCTGTGGGAAAACAAAACAAATATTATTATTTTTGATGATGATTATTTTAAAAATCTTTTTTAGTTTTTCAATAATTTCTCCACTGATTGTATTCAGTTGTTTCAAATGATCCTTCAGATATGTTATTGATGACATACAGTATCACCATCATGTGTTGTGCTGTTTTAAAGGACCCACCCTCTAGAACAGACATGGCCCAAGATATAATTATATTTGGCCCGCAAAATAATATCAAATATGTATTAGAGCTGCTCGCCGGCTACAGATAGACATTAGAGACATTATTTATTTAAAATATTGTTATTATTTTATATTTTGCTTGTTCTGGATTCAGTGTTTAAGCAAAACTATTATTAAACATTTATTTTAATAAGAAAAAGGTTTAACATGACATATCTCAAAAGAAGAGAAAACATGCAGATGTTGTTGAAATTTTTCAGTAAATATTTAGTTTGGCCCACGACTTAGTCCCAGTGTTTAATTTTGGCCTCTGTGAATTTGAGTTGTCACCCCTGTACCTAGAATAATTCAGCTCCTACTCTCAAGTCTATTTCCACACTGGATTCTTTTAAAAGACAAGTAAAAAAAATGTTGATTCATACAAATGTTTAATATAAAATTTATTGTAACAGCTGACTTGCGTGTTCATTTCTGTTATGTTAGAAACATATTTTTAGGGGAGGTGGTCTTCTCATTCTCTTATGCATAGTCATTTTTATGTTTTACATCTGTTTGCAATATTTTTTAACTTGTATGTGCTAATAAATTCTAATCTAAAATCTAAAAAACATACTAAACATACCAATACCCCATCTAAGGTTGCTGTTTTTATTTTTTTTTACATTGTTCATTCTGATTTGATTCCATACCCTGGAGTTCAGACTCTGGTGGGCTGCCGATGCCGTCCTGCCACAGAATGGCCGTGTCATAGACAAACGTGAGTTTGAGCTCAGACTGAAGGTCAAAGTGCTGCCAGCCGCCCACCGCCACCGGAGAATGGAACACATACGACACGAACAAGGGCACGCGCACCGTCACATAGGACTGGACCAGATTCAGCACCTAAACAAAAGGAAAGACAGGGTTAAAGATAATGCTTAAGTATTATTTGAGTGATAAGAGACATTTTGGGCACAATTACGTTATTTGGTAGCCAGGCTGGCACCTAGTGCCTCTGCTCAATTTCATTTGTCTCCAGCGACTAGGTCAGGAATCAGAATACACTAGACGGCTTGCAAGAACCACGGAAACACAAGTTTGGCACTGTGTGGACACCTGAAAATTCTGATACGCTGATGTACGACAATGCACAGCGAAGTAATTCACCTCCAAAACACTAAGAGGCTAAAATATATGTCCATTCATATATACGGTCTATGTGTACGACCTGCAGACATATAATCTTTGAAAAGTTTCACATGAACCATCTACAACACGACAGAAAGACTCACCATCAGCAGAACACCCCTCTGTCACAGAAAGAACATATTCCACTCGTGTCGTGTCCTTTAGTCCAACAGAAACTGAACCACATCAGGGCACAAGGAGCTATGAGCTGTTTTTTTGAGCTTTCAGTTTATGCAAATTAGCCATGTGTTTTTAAGTTTCATTTCTGTAAAACGTAAACAAATATTCTCAAAGCTGCGTGGATAGGGAAGGGTTGTGGACACAGAAACGACGTGTCTGAATGCAGATCATTTCCAATACAGTGATACGCGGATTTGTTTCAGTATAAACGTAGTCTTGGGAAGAACTTTTTGAAGAATATTTGATTTCCATTGTAAAAAGAACGAGCCAAGAGTGTGTTTAGCTGTTATATCTGCCAAAGGTGGACACTTTCATGAATCAAAAGTTTAGAATACGTTTTGGTCAACAGTAAACAGTAAAAAAATTGAAAAAATTTGGTGCTCTAAAACTTTTGACCAGTAGTTTAACATCTTCAGACAAGCACGTAGCCGACCCTCTACCTTAAACGTTACATAGTGCACCTTTAAGTTGTTGAATTCTATATCAGCTGTTGTATAAATCCCAGTCCCACCTGTCCGTCCGTCCCGATGGAGCCTCCGCAGTCATTGAGCAGCTCGGACATGTCGTAGTAGCTGGTGAACTCCCACAGACAGGCCTCCAGGTTGAGGTTCCTGTAAAAGCGCAGGGAGTTGGCGGAGCGCATGGCGGGGCTGTACTGGTACGGGGACGTCTCTCCGATGATCTCCGGGTTCTTGGTGGCGTCGGTGATGAAGCCGTGTCCGGTCTGGATCTCGTTGAAGTCGAGGAGGTTGGAGCAGCGGTGGTTCCCCACGCGAGTCCCGTCAGGGCTCAGGGTCAGCTCAAAGTTCGACAGGGGTCTGGTGGAGATGACGGGGAGCATGCCTGAAAAAAGAGACGACTATTTACTTCATCAGATTTGTTTCACAATTTGAGTTAAGTGTCCATGATGTTCATTTGTTAAAGAAGACATATTTTGCTTGTGTCTGCTATATAGTTATAATCTGTCACATCCATGGATCATTCTGTTATAATTTAGAAACTTTAAATCAAAATATTTATCTAAAAGGCTTAATAAAAGAAAGCAGTCCGTTGATTTATTTTAGAAACAGAGAGACGCGCAGCTGAATATTCAACTATGACTATGCAACACTGCCAAATCATAAACATATCACTGATTAATAAAGTGAGTTGTTTGCCAATATGCTGTCTTGAATATAAGCGATTAAAGATTGCTCAAACATCCACAAATCACTCCAAGTACAAATCTGGGTCAATAAATGGTGATAGTCGAGGAGCCAAAATCTCAAAAATGGGTTGAACCTGACATCATCTCCCATAATTTTTATTTGTATTTTTTCTGTTAACTGTGACCTTAAGGACCAATAATTGGAGGGTCTGCTCTTCCAGAAATATTGCGAAAAAAAATTGTGGCTATTTTAGTGTATGTAACCATTTTTTGACAACATTTTTTGAAAAATGAAAAATTTCCTGAAATCCTCAGTGGGTTGGGTAAGATGTCAATAAATTCATTCCAGATGCAAACAACACATGTGGTGACAACATTCAGTCAAAAAATAATTCTTAAAACACATTTCTACTAAGAAATGGTCTAGGTCCAGGTGTAAACCAGGCCTAAAACAAAATCTAAACCAGGACTAAACCAGGACTAAACTAGGACTAAAACCAGGTCTAAACCAGGTGTAAACCAGGTCTAAACTAGGACTAAACTAGGACTAAAACCAGGACTAAACCAGGTCTAAACAATATGACACTTAACAGTAGGTGGACATACCTGAAGGCAGCAGTGATCTCATAAAGAAAGCATTTTTCAATCAATAATATTTTTAATACGGTTAAGTAAAGACTGGGTTTTTTATTTTCTTTATCTGACAAAACATTTTATGTTAAGATCCTCATCTTTGCTCCGCTACAGTAAACAAATACTTGTTCATGGAGACTTGGGCTCAACGGCCAACTTGACAAGAACAAACAAGAATTTTCAGGATGTGGTTGCTACGTTCATATGGTTTTAAAAAGCATGACAATATCAAGTAATCCAAAATATTCAGATTACATTACTCACTTTATGTAATTTAATGGATTATGTTACAAACTACATTTTGGGGTATGTAATCTGTAATCTGTAGGGGAATACATTTTAAAAGTCACCTTCCCAACACTGCAAGTAGCTCACCAGAAGAAAAAGGTTGAAGACTCCTGCTGTCTACTATAATACACTAAATCTGCTTTGATGCACTAAATCAGCATCAGAATTCATCAACTTTTCCATACTTCCTTTGTTACTCAACTAACAACATGGATTCGGAGTTGGAAACCTTAAACAGTTCCAGGTATTACAATGAACTATCACTAATATTTGTAACTCCATTGAAAACACGTTCCGTTTTACAATTAAACCTGTAATATGTCACATAACAAATCCCTTATATTTGACTCACCGTCCATATGGGGCATGTTGACGGTGAGTTTGATGAGATTGGGGAAGTCTGGGTCGTCGGGGCCGGTGTAGCGGATCTTAGCGGAGAAAGGTTCTGCCCCCACAGTGTCTGGAATACGAGGCTGACACATGCCTAAAAAACACACCAGAGTTTAGGATACATAAAGTTTAAAACACGTTCTTCTTTATTATTTACATAGACTGTATAAAGAAGTGGACTGAGGCAGCGTGACGTTACCTTTAGCGCTCAGCTGCAACCAAATGAAGCTCATCGAGGTGAGCAGTTATAGCAGAGAATTTGCAAACAAGGACCATATTTAAGAATCAGAGCTCGAATCCAAAGAGTTAATCGAGGTTTAGCAAGGGTTTATCCAGCTTTCCAACGCTGTCATTCAAACTTCCTAATGCCAGTGGGAGTGACCTTAAGGAAATAAGGCGCCTGCTTGGTCTGTTATTAATGTTCATATCTTGAATTACACACTAAATAAAGAAATTAAAACCCCAGGATCAGGTAGAGCGGGTTAATACAAACATTTTAAGGTCAGAATGACAAGCCTGACAGCAGCAGAAAGAAGGGTGAGGTTTTTTTCAGTAGAAGTCAACTGCCACCAGAGCTCAGTGGAACCATTTCGTGCTCATACTCACTTCCTATTTGGGATCATAGACTTTATCCACCTTATTCCGGGAAGTTACCATCGGCGCTGTCATCATAATTATTCCGGGTTGTATTATTTTGTTCGGGGCTGCCGATTTTTACTAAATAAGTTCTATGTGGCTCATAAACTAGTTTTGAAGTCCCCAGAGAATCGGTGCAGTGTGACTTGTTGGTGACATGAACACTGAACATTTTACACAAATGAACCGACTTCATGTCTTGTTTAAGATGCAAAAATTATTTACGAGTGTTTAGGGATAAAAATATCTCAGATGCGGGCGGGAACAGGAATGAAAATTAAAATTTTTTGCTGGCACGGACAGGAGCCGGACTGAAAATACTGTCTTGCGCAGACTTTCGACTCCAGTCAAGCAAAGCTCACCGAGGCAAGCTGTTATAAGGCAAATTTGGAGACAAGTTCCATATTAAGAAAAGGAATTAATTTACGGTCAAAATGGCAAAATAAATACACAAATGAGAAGCCTGAAAGCAGCAGTTACTAGGGATGGGCATTCGATAAAATTTTCTTAATTGATCATCGGGAGAATTAACGTTCGATTATCAATTAATCATTAACGTTTTTTTTATATTAAAATGATCATCCTTATTATTACTATCTGCACTACTAATCTGCATAAATAAATCAACTTTACGACATATAAACCGTAACGACTCTAGAGCCACATCAATCTGTTTGACATTATAATGTGTTTAATGCAGCTTTGTACAAGTCTCACAGAAACGAAACTTAAAACCACATGGCTAATTTACATAAACTAAGCGAAGAAAAAAAACAGCTCTTGTGCACTGATGCGACACGACTCAGTGGAATACAGGTTAGTGTGATCATATTTGCGTTTGTTAAAACCAGGACACCGTACGGGGGGTGGGAGGTGGGGACTCGTCATCGACATTGAGCTGCTCTCACCTGGCAAAGCTTTTTCATGTTTTTCGGTGTCCTGGTGCTCTGAGGTCCCTGACCCCTTCACTGGACACTGAAACATATGTGCTGCTTTGTACACTGTGTACATGGACTCCCACTTGTCCCGACTGGAACGGAAAGTGTAGAATTTCTTGTACAAGTCATCGTTAAATACGCATTTGCGCTTCGGCATGTTGCAGACTGACCGACTGTTTGTGTCTGCTCGCTCCTTCTGAGTGCAGAAAGCTACATGGCCGGACCCCCGTTTGTCCCCGGACACGGACGTTTGGTCACCCTACGCTACGCACAGCAACCTACATTCGGTTAGTAGATTAAAAATGAACGTAATCGATGAAATTCTTAATGATCAATTATCGATCAATCAACTAATCATGCCCATCTCTAGCAGTTACAGAGACAGGTGTGACGTTTTTACAATACAAAGTGAATTGGAGCCAGAGTTGATGGAGCCGTAAGCAGTAAGATATGTCCATTTATACACAGTCTATATTAATCACCAAAACATTACCACCACTCTTTTATTTCTTTTACCTTCTTCTTTACTGACGACGACGATGGGACTCGACAGCTCCAGACCTGCGTCTCCGTTGGTGTTGAAGGCCCTGGCGGCGCACTGGATCCTGGAGCCGGCGCGGAAGTAGATGGAGTCCAGCGTGATGGACTTGGTGTTGGTGAAGAAGGTGTTGGTGTCCACCTCCCTCATGGGGCTGGTCACTCCGTCTGAGCCCGTGGGTGCACTGACGAGCCAGCGGTACTGCGTCAGGGTGTCGTTGATGTTCTCGGCGGCGCAGATGGAGCCGGTTTTGTCAAAGTCGTGATATTTTGGATTGCAAGCCTAAAGAAGGATTTTATATTTTATTTATGCATTTATTTTGGGCAAGTAAGAGATTTACATTCTTATACAATGGAACATTTTTTTTTTTACAACATTTAACAAATTACAAAAATCAACATAAAAATAAAACAGATTTAATCAGGACTAAACCAGGATTTAACCAGAACTAAACCAGGTCTAAACCAGGTCTAAAACCAGGACTAAACCAGGACTAAAACAGAATTTAATCAGGACTAAACCAAAACTAAACCAGGTCTAAAACCAGGACTAAAACAGAATTTAATCAGGACTAAATCAGGACTAAACCAAAACTAAACCAGGTCTAAACCAGGTCTAAAACCAGGACAAAACCAAGACTAAACCAGGACTAAAACAGAATTTAATCAGGACTAAATCAGGACTAAACCAAAACTAAACCAGGTCTAAAACCAGGACTAAAACAGAATTTAATCAGGACTAAACCAAAACTAAACCAGGTCTAAAACCAGGTCTAAACCAAGTCTAAAACCAGGACTAAATCAGGACTAAACCAAAACTAAACCAGGTCTAAACCAGGTCTAAAACCAGGACAAAACCAAGACTAAACCAGGACTAAAGCAGGATTTAACCAGAACTAAACCAGATCTAAACCAGGTCTAAAACCAGGACTAAACCAGAACTAAAACAGAATTTAATCAGGACTAAATCAGGACTAAACCAAAACTAAACCAGGTCTAAACCAGGTCTAAAACCAGGACAAAACCAAGACTAAACCAGGACTAAAGCAGGATTTAACCAGAACTAAACCAGATCTAAACCAGGTCTAAAACCAGGACTAAAACCAGGACTAAACCAGAACTAAAACAGAATTTAATCAGGACTAAATCAGGACTAAACCAGGACTAAACCAGGACCGGTCTGTGGATCTAAAAAGGTTGAGGGCCACTGCACATTTAAAGCACATTGCTGATTGTTGATCATAAAACTCACCGTAACACAAACTACAGGGTATCCGTTGGGGGGGAAAGGTCTGTCCTTGATCTTGGACGTGTCGTCGTACATGAGAAGAGAAACCACCTGAGGAACCGCGGGGAACGTCACGTCTGCCACACTGTCCATCTCCTCAATGTAAACTATGGCTTTGTTCATCTGGAAAGGAAAAGAAAACGTCATTTGCAAATACAAATAATCTAGGAATGTAACAATAACCGAAATATTGTGATATCGTATCGTCAAAAGTCTCACAATAATATCGTGGACCATCACAGTATATCGAATTACAAGTTTTTTTTGCTTAAATACATAGTTTTAGAGAAGCAACAGCTTATGAACATTTTCTAAATAAAGTGTTAAACTGTGTGATGGGCGTTTGTGGTGAGTGGCGTCTTATTTCTGTCACACGAGCACTTGGCAGCCAACGTGGGCTAAATGTGGAGAATGCCAGGGCCTGTTTATAGCTCCATCTACTGTTTGTTTCTGACGGGCGTCTCATTCCAGGGAGAAAAGCTTTTTATAAGAGCAGAGCGGGCGTGCTGACAGAGATGCCAGCTGTTGCCCCGGGCTATTTTAACAGCCCCTGATGCCCTGACACGGCGGGCGCATGTTCACGTGTGCCAGTGTGCCCCGCTCTTCAGATATAGGGCACTGTGTTGATTTGTTTATGTGTTTGTAGGTGACATGACGTTTGCCCCACCTGCACTTCGGCCACCATGTTGTCATCCGGCTTCATGTGAACGGTGAAAGCTTCTCTCATCTCTCTCTCTCCGTCGAACAGGATCTCGATCTCCACAAAGTGCTCCTTCTCGCCCTCCTTGAACTCCACGTCTGAGGAATGAATCAGTTTAAGAATTGAAATATGTGTATTTAAAACAGGTTAGAATGAGTCATCAGTCCTTTATTCAGGCTTAGATCTTCAAAAATGCACACTAAATATTTGATATTGGCTTTATCAAAATAGATTTTCAAAAACTAGCAGAAAAAATGTTAATAAGGGTCAGATTCACGTAGATGTCTTTTGTAATATAGTGTGTTTTTGGCTCTAGCCACTAATATAAATTCAGGTTCAGTATATGCAAAATTACTTATTTTTAATTAATAAATTAATTAATCATAGCATTTAGATAGTGCCTTTCAAAATACCCAAAGCGCTTTACAGTTCATTATTCCTTCACTCCACACTCAGTGGTGGTAAGCTACTACTGTAGCCACAGCTGCCCTGGGGCAGACTGATGGAAGCAAGGCTGCCAATTTGCGCCATTGGCCCCTCCAGCCACCACCAAGGACACAACGTCTTGCCCAAGGACGCAACAACAGTTTTTGTGACTGGCGTCCCCCTGTGGCACCTGGAATTCCCAGTGTCTCCCATCCAAGTACTACCCAGGCCCAGACTTGCTTAGCTTCTGAGATCTGACGGGATCAGGCTTTGACAAGCCGGTATGGCCACTTATTTAATGTTTTTCAATATTTCTCATGATATAACAATGCAATCAATAGGAAAAAACTGTCTCTTGAACAATCACCTGAGAGAATGACTTTGTTATATTCTAGAATTTGAAAACCACCATTAGTGTTATCGCACATATACACAGATACTGGAGGTAAGCAGGTGAAGTGTCTTGCCCAGGGACTCAAAGGCAGAAACATTCACAAAACTCAAACCACCAACTTTTCGGATTGGTAAACAAGATGCAACATCTAATCAACAAAGGACTGTTGCTAATTTTCTAAGATTCTAATTCCATTTCTCTTTCTTTCTATCGAAAGATAGAAAGGTTCCTTTCTATCTTTGATTTGATGTTCTTTGATCGAAAGGTTTTGCAGCTCATCCAAGCTGCTTCTTCAGTTCTGGTCAGACACTTATCTGCCTGAAGGGAGGAGCTACATTGACACAACTCTGAAACTAAAACACCTACTTGTTTACAGTTTCTGTTTGTGAGCTAAGTCTACTGAACTGCACTGAGTGTGGACCAAGTCATTGTTTTGCAAGTCTCAAGTAAGTCTCAAGTCTTTGACCTCAAGTCTGAGTCAAGTCCCAAGTCAGATACAGGCAAGTCCAAGTCGAGTCTCGAGTCACTGACCCATAAGTCCAAGTCAAGTCCAAGTCATCTCCTTTGAGCTTCAAGTCATTTCAAGTCTTTAAAACTAAATACCAAATATATCTTAGATTTTTCCAATTTATACGAATTTCAAACTAAATTTTACTTAAAAGTCATGGTATATTTATATATAAGTATTTATATAGTAGTAGAAATGCTAATTTTTCCTTTTTAAATATATTGACAAGATCTTAGTATAAATCATGACGTTCAGACTAGAAAGAACTAAGATTTAAAAGTGCTTAATAACACTTATTTTGCAATGTAGTCTGCACTGAAATGGAATAATCATGTTCTGTGTAGTTCCCTCTGTTTATTTTATTGTTTTGTATATTACTGTAAGATATCTGAGGATACCACATCACAGTACTTCAGTTACATCCAAAGTAATAAACAGAGAAGTGGGACAGACATGTCAACTGAAAAGAGAAAAGTGCCTTCTAAACAATTTTTAAGAGACGCATCGAGTCTGCTCAAGTCACAGGGCTCAGGTTTGAGTCAACTCCCAAGTCACTGACCTTCAAGTCTAAGTTGAGTCCCAAGTCTTAGTCCATTTTAACCAAGTCAAGTATCAAGTCCTAAAAATGGTGACTCAAATCTGAATCGAGTCCAAGTCACGACTTGCAAGTCCCACCTCTGCGGGTCACCACTATTGTGTTCTTTGTTTTGATTTTGGTCTGAAGATGGAGTAAATAGAAGATACTAGATGGTGCCTGAGAGCTCCATTTCTGTTCAAAGATAGATTGTCTTTCCTGACAAAAATAGCCTTTCTCATTCCCCTCTCACACCATTTCTTTCCTGTATTTCATGAGCTGGCATTCTTACCCTCTGACAGGGGGTTGTAGTCTTCTCCAGAGGTGGCAGACCCGTCCTTCGTGTGCACCCGGACCACAGAGACCTTTGAGGTGTCCCCGATTCTCAGGATGGGGATCTTTACGACGGCGATGGTTCCTTTGACCTGAGGCTCACGGACACTGTATTTGATTTCAGAGAAGCGAATGATCGACTCTGAAAGAAACAGAAGAGATTTGTGAGAGATACAGAGGGAACTGTGGGAGCTGGAGTCCGAATTACACACCAAAATATCTCTAGTTTTGTTTTCATTTTGTTTTGTAGCATTTTGTACAAACATTTCATAATATACAGACTTTTATCACATCCAAATTTCAGCAGTATCTTTAAACCATATTAGAATGTTGTTACCTCCTCAAAAACAGACCTGGAGTTGTGTTTTGTTTCATTCACACATGTTTGACTAACTCTTTATGATTAGTCAGTCTGCATCTCCAAAGCTCAAAATGCTCAGCTCCACCTTGTAACGTCATGAAGTGGTAGTTTTCAAGTTAACACCTCCTTTTACCTTTTGTTCAGTAGAGATTCCAGGGCTGAAATTATCTAAATGATTTTACTAGTGAAGGTGTATGGAGTTTAAAAACACAGTGGAGCGCTTCCTGTATTACCACATGACATCACAAGGTGGAACAGAGTGTTTTCATTTTGAAAGAAGAACTATTCAGAGAAATATTCAGGGTTTGTGTGATTGAAACAAAACATAACTCCAGGTCTGTTTGGGACGAGAAAACAACATTACAACATTATAAAAAAAATACCATGATATAACAATTTAATATTTAACAATTTTAACATTGCCTAGTAATACAATATATTCTTTTTTTGTGTGTAGAATCCCTCAGTCATCCAGGTAGAATCCAGGGCAAAGGAGAAATTCATGTTATTAGATTCTTTTTTCAGACCAAGAGTTTGTATGGACTGAAGAAGAGCACGAGTGATCAGTCGAAACTGTCAGGTATGGAAATAAACTCTTGGTCTGAAAAAAGAACCTAATAACATAAATTATCAAAAGACCAAATAAACCTCATTAAAATTCAATTTGTCAACTGGACAAAAGTATATTTTATTTTGGTTTCGACCAACATAAATAAATAAACAATACTACTTCTACTTCTACTACTACTACTACTACTACTACTACTACTACTACTACTACTACTACTAATAATAATAATAATAATAATAAAATACACTTTTGTCCAGGTGACAATTTGAATTTCTCTTTTGCCATACTCTTTTTATAGTTTTATGGACAACATTTTTATGCAAATTATCTACAGTTTAAGAGTTGAGTTACATTTTGGTGGTAGGATATTTTTTTTCATCTTTCAACAGCTACAAGTACATAGTCCAATGAGATTCATTTGGTCTTCCAATATTCTATGTTATTAGGTTCTTTTTTTTTCAGACCTAGAGTGTTATTTCTGAGGAAGACGCTAGTGAGCAGTCGAAACTGTCAGGTATGAAATAACACTCTAGGTCTGAAAAAAAAGAACCTAATAACATAGCTACAAGTACAATTTATAGACCAAATTACTTTAAAAAACAAAAAACAAAATACTTAATTGGCTTTTAGTTTGACTTCTAGAATATATTTTGTCCTTGAAATTTTTCTCTGAACTCAGGAGGAAAGCAGGGCTGTCGGATTAACAATTTACTGTTTGGTTCATTGATTCTGCAGAAATTCGCAATGTTTTTCAGCCCCTTGTGCCATTTTTTCCTTGATTTTTTTTTTTTTACAATATGAACGAAACAATGTCCCTGATTGGCTAATCCACCTGTCAATCATTCCCTTCTGAACTGGCAGATTCACCGGTGACCAGACTCACATCTTTGTACATTATTATTCTTTATATAGGACATAACATGAGCCTTACTGTCTTTCTCATCTGTGACAGAGATCAGCGTCTCCTTCTGCTCCCCCAGAGCCGCTCCGTACTGAGACGTGCTTTTGGCCGAACCCAGAACCAACCGGAACTCCTCATTCTCCTCGTGAACCGAGTCGTCCTCCAGCTTCACCACACACGGCTTCTCGCTCTCCCCTGAAACATTCACAGAAGATGGACAGAAGTAAGAAAACTGTTTTACCAGAAAGTTTCAACATGCAGCCAGTGGTGAATAGAAAGAGTACTGAATATTTGTACTCAAGTAAAAGTACTCACTGTAGTGTTATCATGATACTAAAATTTCAAACTCTATTTCGATAGTGAAGAAGAGACTTGATATGCAATGCTGATTTTGATAAATTTTAGACAATATCATAATTTTCAACTCAGAAGTATTTGTTTATTTTATCATATTCATGAAAAGTCATGTTTTATTCAGCTATAAGATTTTTTTTTTTTTTTTTTCAGATTTGATACCTGTTCAAATGAGTAGCTGGTTTTATACTAGTTTTAGTGTTGTTTAGGATCTGAATTTTGATATTTTTGACAACCCTAACTCAATTACAAGTACTTAAGTAAAAGTAAAAAGTACACATGAAAATACTACTCGAAGATCAATAGAAGCACGTCATACTTTAAGATATTTTGTCATTTTAAATTTTCTTTTTTTAGTGCTTGGCTCATTGATTCTGCAGAAATTCATACAAACAGCCCTCTGTGACATTTTTTCCTTGATTTTTTCCAATTTGAATGAAACATGAGTGTCCCTGATTGGCTAATCCACCTGTCAGTCATGGCCTTCTGAACTGGCAGATTCACCGGTGACCAGACTCACATCTTAAATCGTAAATTATTGAAGAAGCTTGTATTCTGGATCCCAGGCAACTCAATAACAGTAATGTGAGTATTTGTAGTGAATAATAATAATGATAGATTTTTATATTGCTTTTTACATTTTAAAAATTAATCTCTAAGTCAGGGGTCTCCAACCTGTAGCTCAGGAACTACCAGTAGCTCTCTACCCCCTTCCAAGTAGCTCACCAAAGAGTTTCTGAATCATACATATTGTGCTGAATGGTTCAAATTTGCTGAACTACCATTGTAACTACTATTTACCCAAGGACATTCCCAATTCTGAGCCCTGTGTTCCCTGATTTGCCCCAGTTTTATGCAAAAACTGTCCCAGGTGTCCCTATTTTTGACCAATCTGATCCCTGTCAACAGTAAAAAGAGGCATAAATTGTCATTTGTTTAGATAAAATACAGAAAAGCTGCTTAAAAATCACCCAAACACAAAGAAAATGTGACTATACTGATTTATATGTTAGTCATGAATGGTCTCTACATAACAATTTTTCTTGATTACAAACTCGTTTCACAGTTTTATTATTACCAATCACCAAAAAAAAAAGGAATGTCTCAGTTTTTTATTTTGGAAAGCTGGTCACCCTAAACTTTGTGCACTAATAAATGGATAAAGGTTTATATTTTATAGGTATCTAACTGTTCCCCATCTAAGGTTTTCCTCTGCTCAATTTCTTGTGACTGTTAAAATAAGTAGCTTTTTGGCATTTTCTTTTTGGAAGTAGTAGCTCAGCAGAAGAAAAAGGTTGGAGACCCCTGCTCTAAGTTCTACAGTCGGTTTAAACCCCCCGTCTTATTCTTACCAGGTAGAAAAGTGATGATAGAAGCGTCCGTGTTTGGTCTCTCGGTGTAGTCCATCATGACCTGAGCTGTTCCCTGTCGTGTGTAGCAGCGCACGGTGGACTTGAGGCTGATGTCTCCACTGCGGTACACAACAGCACGGACCTCCCCGTCAGACTCGTCCACTTTGTAACTTCCTTCTTTAAACTGCACCTTTGGCACTGAGAAGAGAATCGAGAGAGGGTTAACAGAAGGTAAATCAAGCAGGGCTGACCATGATTTCAGAGCTAGATATTATGGAGGGAAACTGTTTAAATCAATTCCCCCATCATCAGTTGTTTTAGCTTTTCTGTCAGGAAAAAGATGATCTCACAACTAATTCTTCCCATTTTAGTGTACTGTGATAACATTTATCAAAATACCACAACTGCTGTCCTCCAACCACTCAGTGTTATCTAAAACAGTCTGTGCAGGTTAATCCGTGTATCATTCGTTCATTCGTTTTTTAATATAAAACCAAAAATAAGAAAACAAACAAACAAAAAAAGTTTTTCTTCATTATTTGTCTCCAAAACCAAAATTTAAAAAACGGGTAATCAATTTGTTTTTTCAGTTTTCGATTTTGTGTTTAATGAATAATGGAAAAAATTAATAATGTCCATTTCCCGTTTCCGTGACTTAAACTGTAATGCCGGACTGAACCAGGACTGAACCAGGACCGAACCAGGACTGAACCAGGACTGAACCAGGACTGAAGCAGGACTGAACCAGGACTGAACCAGGACTGAACCAGGACTGAACCAGGACTGAACCAGGACTGAGTCAGGGACCAGGACCAGGACTGAGACTGGGAGTGAGAAAAGGACTGAGGCCGGGACCAGACCGTGATTGAGACCGGGACTGAGACCGGGACTGAGATCGGGACCAGACCGGGACCAGACCGGGACCAGCCCGAGACTGAGACCGGGACTGAGACCAGGACCAGACCAGGACTGAGACCAGGACTGAGACCAGGACCAGACCAGGACTGAGACCAGGACTGAGACTGGGACAAGACCAGGACTGAAAATGGTTTAGTCCTGGTTTAGTCCTGATTCAGTCCTGGTTCAGTTCATATGTGGTGCAAAAGTCCGGCATCAGTCACGTAAACAGGAAACGGCCGTTATCCATGTTTTCCATTATTCATTTAAACACAAAATTGAAAACTGAAGAAAGGAATTGTTATCTGGTTTTTCATTTTGGTTTTGGAGACAAATAATGAAATAGTTTTTTTTTTTTTTTTTTTTTTTTTCATTTTCTTATTTTTGGTTTTATATTGAAAAATGAATGAATGAATGATACACGGATTCAGGTTTATCCTCCGCTTTCCCATCAGAACTCACCACTGTTCACTTGTTATTATTTATCTTTAAATGCATTCATCTCAGTTATCCTGAATATCTCAAACAGTATTTAATTCCATTCAGATCCTCTTACAGTTTACATCACACAGATAAGACATTTTTTGTTGTCCCAAGAGTCAAATGTGAGTCAAGAGTCAATTGATTTGCACATTAATTTCTGTTCCTTCATTTAAAATGCTCTGGTGCAATATTTACATTACCCGTGTCATTGTTTTTGATAATTTTGTTGAAGTTTGTGACTATATTTGAACTAGTTTTTGTTAAAATTTGATTTATTCTGTGTCGAACAGTCAAGTCTGAGTGAGTGAGTGAGTGTGTGTGAATGGTTGTGTTAAATTTATTGTTTTGTATTGTATGTTTATTTGAATTTATATAACCTACTGTGTGCCCTACTGTATCTGTCTTCTGTTGTTGTGACAATGAGGACCCTCTCGAAAACAAGATGGCAAGACATCTCAAGGGGCTTATCCTTCAAATAAATTCTAAATTAAATGCGGTGTTCCTGTTTTGAAGGACTTTGTGAGGACCGTTCCCTATGCAAAAGATATAATGTTGTGATTTTGCATTTTTTAATTCCGTCCGCAGAGGGATGTCATAGCTTGAAACCCATGAATTACATGTCATTTTCTTGTTTTTTCTCAAAATTTCTCCATGAAGAGACAAAATAAAACTAAACCTGAAACCTGAAATGTAAAGATTTTTTGGGAAAAGTTGAGTCTACTTGTACTGTGTAAATGAGAAAGGGAAATGCTGAATAACTAGCCTATTACTAATGTGACGATGTGTGTTCTTTCAATCGCCAGGGTCACAATGTATGAATTTCCTAGAGATATTTTAGTAGAATTTAAAAACCAATAGTTGATATAAATACATTTGTAAGGAAAAACAAAGAAACATCCAAGCACTTTCAAACTCCACAAGAGAAAGAGCAAAGAAAAACAGAAGAAGCAAACATGTCTTACAGTCAGTCACAGTGTCGTTGATGGTGACGGTGGTCTTGCTGGGCTCTCCTAACACTGCGTTCATGGGCATGTACAGCACCAGGTCAAAGGTCTCCGGCCCCTCCAGCTCCGGCTGCCCCAGGTCGTCCAGGATGGTCACCCTGAAGGTCTGCATGGTCACCCCCGGAGCGAAGTCCAGGTTACGACTGATGCCAACGTAATCCAGACCAGCTAGATAAGATACATACATAGATACTTTATTAATCCCAAAGGAAATTCAAAGTTCGGCAGCAGCAACATAGAAAAGATATTAAAACCTCTTGCATTCATCAATTATAGGGATGCTACAAGTTACAACACGAATATACAAGTTTAGTAGCAATAATCATGCAAATGTGTGGGTTATTTTAAGGATGCACTGTGTAATTTGTGGTGGAGCATCTGCCAATAGCTTGTCTCCATGGAGATGTTATTGCTTTGGTTAGTATGTTCCATAGTATGACATTAAGCACATTTATTTTCATGGTAACATGCAAATAACGCCACCAGGCCAAGTTACAGGTCAGATCTGTGGACACTTTACTGTTTTTCATTGAATTTATGAGCAATAAAGATACCTGCAGTTGTGTTATTTTTAAGATATATACTATATCCAGGGTTCCCATGGTCATGGAAATCCTGGAAAATCATGGAAATTGAAAATGTCATTTTCCAGGCCTGGAAAAGTCATGTAATTTTGTAACTTCAATGAAAGTTTTGGAAAAGTCATGGAATTTTAGTATCTCTTTCATGTAACTGCAGCGTTCTGTTAAGTTCTCATTAGGCTATTATGATTATTTCCGAACGTCTGCTTTCAGTATTTTGAATGTTAAAAAACTATAAAACCAAATCATAAGGTGAGTGGAAAGTGTTAATATTTCACATTTAGCCCTAAATGTCTGATCAATTCTACACATGTAGGTGCCATAAAGTCATGGAAAATTCACTTTAGGTCATGAAAAAGTCATGGAAAATTTCTGAAATTTTGTCAAAAAAAATTAAAAAGGGAACCTGGTATATCATAGTATAGAATATTCAAGGCAAAACAAAATCATCTCCATGGAGACAAGCAGGTGGCAAATGGTTGAACACAAAAGTTACACAGTGCACTTTTAAGTTGTGGCTCTTACCTTCAGCAGAAACAGGTTCACTCTTCTTGGAGCGGACCGTGACAGTTGCCGTCTTGGACAGATCAGTGCCCGTTCTCCAAACCTTCACCTCCACATATCCAGAACTCTCATCCACAACATACTTAGGCTCTCCAAAATACAGCGAAGGCTCTGTGTGAAAGAGAAAGATGAAATAAATGAAAATGAATTGAAATATGAATGTAATTAATATGGTCACAAACTGTCCCATTTTTGTACAGTGCTTTTTCACTCAAAAGAACTTTACATCAAAGAATTTATTACCATTTACCAAATTTATTACCATTTATATTTTTTGTCTTTGTTATTATATTATATTGTGATGTGTAAGCTACTATGTCCACATAATTCCCTTGTGGATCCATAACATTTATCTAAGTCTAAAGAACCACCCATTCACTGTCTACACATACACCAGTGTAGCCAGTAGGGCTGGGTATCATTCAGAAGTTGCTGATACGATACATACCTCGATACATAGGCCACGATACGATACATATCTTGATACAGTGCACTTCGATATGATATATTTTAAATCAATTCAATACAGTTCAATAAAAATAAAGGCTAAATCATGGCTGTGATTCTAAAAGACTTTGTTAAAACACTTCTTGTGCAAAGTTCATATGAAACACAAACATTTTAATGATCAAAACAGTGAAAGTTTCCTTCCTCTAAACAAGCAACAAAACTGTAGCTCTGTTAACAAAATGATTTAGTAAAATGTACCAAAAAATACTCTTGGTGATATCTCAGTACTGTATCATCATATTAAACGATTTTTGCACACCCCTAGTAGACAGACAATGACTCTACCAATGTTGTTTAGGTTGAGAGTGGGATTTGAACCTCCAACCTTTGGATGAGTGGACAAACGCTCTACCAACTGAACTACTGTAGCCCATATTAACATATTACAAAGCAATTTGGTTGTAAGTATAGTCTATGTGCTCTTATACTTGTTTTTATACTCAAGTGCGTATCTAGTTTCAATACTGGTTTTAGTATTGATTAGTATCTGATAGGGATGTAACAATATCCAAATTTCTCAGTACAATATTATCACGATATGCATCTCACGGTACGATATTTATTGTGATATTTTGAAGAGGCTAATATAAATGTAAATAGAAAACTTTTTTTGCTTTTAAAATACCTTGACACGATGTTTGTGTGAATTTTTTGAGTCATAATCCCAAGAATTCAAGTAAAAAACATATTTCTTCATGCTGTCTGCACTGACATGAATCATGGGATATGTAGTTCCCGATGTTTATAAGCTGTTGCAACTATAAAACCATGAATTTAAGCAAATAAACTTATGATTCGATATATTATGATGGCCCACGAGACTTTTGACGACACGATATCACGATATTTTGGTTATTGTTACACCCCTACTAGTTTAAGGTTTTTTTTTTGCTTGTAATTCATTATTTTTCATTCCTTCCTTCATTCCAGTATGAAAAAGACAAACACAATACAACATGTGGGGTTTGCCCTTGATGCATACACATGAATAGTTTCTACAACCAATTGCAAGAAAAAAAAAGGATCAAACTAAATCTGTTCTTACAGTTTTGATCAATTCAGTCCACAGTTTCCATTTGTTCTTAAATTTGTTCTTAACTTATACTAAAAGTAATTCTCTCCATCTTAAAAAGTCCATCCATCTTAACAACCCAGAGATGAAAAAAAAAAGGGTGTGTAGATTTGCCAAAGAAGTAAGGCTCATAAATCTTTTGAGCATCAGGTATTCCCCAAACTAAATAGTAGAGACTGCTGCTCAGACAGATAATTAAGGTTTATTTAGATCTATTGAAGAAGCTCCTTCATTTGCCCTTTGTGAGTCAGCACAGGAAGAGCGCTGTCATCCCTCTCATCCCTCTCATCCTGTCCTCCTTTGACCTACTCCTCCTCCTCCTCCTCCTCCTCGCCATTTATAAACAGACAGATCAGTCTAAACTCTGAGCCAAGAGGCCGGGGACGGACCTGAAGAATACATGTTTTGTCTTTGTCTGTGGGAAGGCATTCATCACTATGCGAGGACTGAAATCTGTATAAACACACGGGTACCTGCCTCCCTTCTGAGGACAAAATCTTTATTATTAAACCAGCAACATGATTTAAAGTTAAGATATGGATTAAAACAGCTTTTGTTAGTACAGTTTACTATAAAAATAAAGTGGATTTGATTAGATTTAGGTTAAGGTTATGTGACTGGTAACTATAGTCCTATATTTTGAGTTTTGTGAGCTTTAATTGAATGAAACCAAACACACACCAAAGTTCTTGTAGAGGTGCAAATGCAAGGAGCAGGAAAATAAATGTGAAAAAATGCAAAGCACAGTCAGATGGCCGATGTCCAAAAGATTTTAAAACATTTTTAAATAATGTTGAGGGCAAAAAAAAAAAGCCTACCATATTTTCCGCACTATTAGGCACTCTGGATTATAAAACGCACTGTCATAGAATGGTCTAATTTTTTTAAACTTTTTTCACAAATAAACCACATCGGACTTTAAACAAAACGCAACAGTTGGATGGCTCAGTGGGACTTTGTTTGGCGCGTTCACGGTGACTCTGGGCTTTGTTTAGTTGTGGCGTGTAGGGAGGGGCTGTCTGGGACCAACGGATTGTCGGCGTGTTCGCAGTGACTCAGTTGTTCAGTCGTGTCTAGAAGTGGCATGTTGCGCTCGCTTTTTCGGTTCGTTCCACCGTTCCGTTCCTCGTCGGCGTGGAGTGATGAGTGTGGCTGTGGTTGTTTGTCGCTGTGCGGTCGCTGTCTGCTCCGTGTGTGTTTGCGTGTTCTGCGGGTGGTGCGGCTTTGTAGTTTACTGAAGTCGTGCTGGGACACCCGAGTGGATTCGTGTATAGGGCGCTCTGGATTGTGGGGCGCACAGTTGTTTTTTGATGGGGTTGGAGGCTTAAGAGCTCGCCCTATTGTCCGGAAAATATGGTACACGTACTGTGGTCCAAATCCAGAAAAATTATCTGAACCGAAGCGTTATTTAAAAAGAAAAAAAAGCTTTTGGACATCAGCCATCTGAGTGTGCTATGCTTTTTTCATCTTTTTTTGTGATATATATTTTATTTTGTTTTTACCTATATTGTGGTCTTACAGTAAGACCGCTTTTTTCCACTTTTATCTTGTGAGTTTTAAGCCATGTTATAATGTTGTTACCTCATCAAAAACAGACATGGAGTTGTGTTTTGCTTTATTCACACGTTTGAATAACACTTTATTATTAGTTAATCTACATCTCAAAAGCTCAAAATGCTCCGTCCCACCTTGTGATGTCATGAACCCAGTGGCGGAGTTTGCAATTTGGGGGCCCTAGGTGAACTTAAGTTTGAGGCCCTCACTATAATGCACCATTTTTTCAGTTTTAAAAAAAATATATATTTATTGCCTGTTTTTCCCCATTGTTCTTGAGACACGCACATCTCTATTTATTTGAATTATGGTGGATTGAAAACTTGAATTATTAGTTCGGGAGCCTAGTAGACAACCAGAACTGAAAGTAGTTTCTTTTTTTTGCTAGTACAATTACATTTTTGTTTACATCCATTACATATGATTATTGTTGGTATTATGTTTAAAAGTAAACTACTCTCATTTAATGTCATAAATGAAAATCCAATTGCTCTGAGGCCTCGGACATTAGTTGCACTGAGGGCAATTGGTTGGGGGTCCCTCCAGGTTTGGGGGCCCTGTGCAGTCGCCTACTTTTGCCTAATGGTAGCACCGCCTCTGCATGAACCTGTAGCTTTCAAGATTTTCAACAGCTCCTTTTACCTTTAGTTTAACAGAGATTGTCAATTCCAGTGCTGAAATCATCCAAATGATTCTAGTAAAGGTGTATGGAGTTTAAAAACACAGTGGAGCACTTCCTGTATCACCACATGACATCACAAGTTGGAATAGAGTATTTTCTGATTGAGAGAGAAGAACTTAACCTAAATATGCATTGTTTGTGTGTGTGTAAACGAAACAAAACACAACTCCAGGTCCGTTTGTGATAAGGAAACAACATTATAACATAGATCAGAAAACAACGTGATATTATTAATGATTTTAAGGTTGGAATCAGTCTCCAAGAAGTGAATGCAGGTGAATGTAATGTCCTCAAAAAGCCCGTAAACCCAAAGTGCTGCGTTGGCCAAAGGGGCTGTGGTGATGGAGGGTCTGATAAGAAGCGCAGGGGGAGATGGAAGAGACAGGGCTCCAATTAGCAAAGACAGAGGGCAGGAATTCAGACCCCGAGCACGTCAATTAATCTCTCTTCACTTGTGTATAAAGGTTGTTTTCATCACACTCTGCCCCGCCAGCGCTACTCCACATGAATAGACGTAAGGCTCCAGGGCTTTGCTGAGTTTTAAAACGGCTTCAAATGAAAATAAAAAGGAATTTGAAGTAGCAATTAGAGCATGTTGTGGGTTGCATGGTGTTAAGGATTTAGTAGAATAATGGGTTTTGTGTTGGGTTATGTATATGTATAATGACTACCCTTTAATTTTTATTTAAAGTGCCCATATTGCGCTATTTTTTGAACTGTTATAATGTTGTATCCTCATCAAAAACAGACCTGGAGTTTTGTTTTGTTTCATTTGTAAATGTTTAACACAAAAACCCTGCAAATTTAGGCTGAGTTCTTCTCTAAAAAGGAAAATATTCTGTGATATCATGTTGTAATACAGGAAGTACTCTGCTGTGTTTTTAAATTTCATACACCATTGTTTCCCAAAGACGAGGTCGTGACCCTCAGGTGGGTTGCAAGAGAATTTTTTTGGGTCGCCTGATATCCAAACCAGTCCAGTCCAATCCATTTTAGTTACATAGCACATTTCAAAAACTGTTTCCAAAGTGCTGCACAAACACATACTAATAACAACAATAATAATATAACGATAAAATAAAAGCTCAGATTCAATCAAACGATAAAACCAGTCAAATAAAATAAGAGCAAAACCATAGAATAGCAATAAATAAAATACATACAAAATAAATAAAATAAATAAATTATCTGTGTGTTGCGCTCTCCTTCTACACCTGGACTGGAACAAACGTGTTACAAAAACTCAAACGGCAAAATGTTGAAATGTTGACATATTTTGTATAATTTCTAATC